AGTATGGAGGAATATTGACACGTTTTTTGTGGACTTTTATGGACCTTTCTGCCTCGGCCGCCATAGACCTCCATTATTTGAATGTCAGCAGACAGCAAGAAGCCTCCCAGATCTCCAGATGCATTTGAGATATCAAAAAAGTACTCCAGAGTGTTGTTCAGCATGGGGGTGAGTAGAAAATGAAGGCTAATCATGTTTTGGGTGTACTATTCCTTTAACACAGAATCATGTCAGGAAACTCTGAATTAAGTTGAATTTAATGCATTTAAATCTATACATGAGCTTTAGGTCCACACATGGGAACAATATTCTGCTTCTTTCCTGTTCTTTAGCCCTTTGACTCTAGCTCTATAAATAGAGATTTGTTTATTTATTTTTTACCACACATTCCTCTAAGCTCCAAGACACTTGACTCCCAGCTTGAGTTTTACAGGGTTAGTTTGCATCTGAAAAGATTGTTGGAACCAAAAACAGATCCACAGTTACAGGGAAAATAAAATATTTGTAGGTTTGTGTGCTGCAGGAATGCAGTGTGAAATATATCATCCTGAAGTTTTTCTTCTTTTCCCCAGAAATGATAGTTTATTCATTCTCCTCTCATTGTTTTAAATTTGTCTCTATAAATCTCTTTCCTAAAACAACTAACTTTTTAAGTCTTTTTAAAGTGGTGTCAACACTGTGTGTAGTTCCTTATGTATTGTCTTTTTAATTATTCTTTTAATTTAAATGGAAATAGTAAGACTTATAGGGTGCTACATAGCAGTGGAGAGTTAAGCCATCTGATCTAATCTGGGGGGCTGTAGACAGGCTGTCTGCCCTTCTGTGTCTATTTAAATGGACACACACACAGATACAAAGGCATTCAGGAATGCGTCGGTCAACACCGCTCACACTTACTGTCAGAGCCTGTTTTACCAACAGTGTAAAGCAATCTAATTTTAAAATCCCATAAAAGGCCAGCAGTGACTGTTAAAAGAAATAAAAACACAAAAAGCTTCAGTCACTGTTTTTTTTTTTTTATTTGAACCTCATGCTTCAATATCCAGTGTGAATTACATTAGCTTCTGTGGACATTCTCCGAGGAATGACTCCCCATGAGTTTTTGATTAATGGTCAGGCAGGATATTGGCTTCACATTCCAGCTATTATTTAGCTTCGCCACATTTGAAACTGTGGCTAAACAATACAATATATGATTACTAAACTTTGACGGCTGATTCTTGTCTAGAGATGTATAGATGCCATTATTTCCTGTAACGCTTGTGAAGCTTTTTTTGTTGTTGTTGCAAAAGCTTTAATCGTCTTCAATAAAAATTGCTTTTTATTGTTTGAAAGCAAATGAAAAAGAAATTTTCTCTATATTCTGGAGATGTTTTACTTCACCTTGTTACCATTTACTTTGGTTCTGATCAATGTTCATGCCAACTACCATTGTGATTTTGTCATGATATTACAAAGTTCAGACCCAAATGCAGAAAACCGAAACAGAGAGACCAGTGAAAAGGTTTAACAGGTTTTATTGAAGAAGTTAAACAGGGGGAGAAGTGTTGCTCTGAACACTGCTAAACCGGAACTGTAAAGTGAGGGGAAGACACAGCGGTTAGTTCAGGTTCAGTGGGGAATTTGACTCGTGAACTTGGAGAAGAGGATTTGGTTGCCGACTCACGTTTCCAGAGAAGTCGTTGAATCCTTGACTCCTTTCTGTGTGCCGTGGTTCCAGTGTTTGTCTGATTCGGTGGAGGGAGAAACAGGGTTTATCCAGAATGCGGTTGTTAGTAGGTGAACGGAGAAACTGACTGCCACTCAGATTTCCTGCGGTACTTGAACGGGTCGTAGTGGAGATTAACCCCTTTCTCAGTGTGAAGCTCAAACGATCTCATTGGGAAAGTGGATCCAAACCTCCTGTTTGAACCCCAGCTCAGTTTGAAGCTCAGTAGATCCTTCCAGGGAGAGAAGGTTCGAAAATTCCAGTTACCAGGAAGACTTCCTGCCAAGAGGCAAAGACAAAAACAAAGTTAAACTCAGGTTGACAAAAACTCAGTTTGACTCAGCAAAACTCAGCTTGGCTAGAGTACCCAAAACTCGCAAACACTTCGAGGCATCAAGGTAGTGGCATTCAGCAGCTTAAAAACACTCCGTTTAACGAGGAAACCATCAGCAGGTGTGTGAGGAGGCGGACCAGAACCAGGCGCCTCCTGGTGGATGAAGGGAGACAAACACAGAAACACAAACACAAAAAACAGGAGTCCTGACAGATATATGGCAAATATTGAGTCCTGAACAACCAATCATCATTTCAGGTGTTGTTCTGGTGGTGGATGGTGTTTTTAGTATATTTCTATAAGTAGTCCCTCAACGTGTGTTTTTTTTTAACTCTTTGACTTTAATCAAATCTTGGGTGAAAGGGCATCACTCTGTGTAGCTGAAAAAGACTCATCTTGTAACTGCACTTCCATACAGTTTGGGAGCATCTGATGAACGTCTTGGTTGGACAGATGATCCCATCCACACAAGCTTGATTTAATACTTTGAAAGAAAGAAATAAGTTTCATGTAGCCTGTTAGTCAATACCAAAGCCTGCAATCACTGAATCTCTACCCTTTACTGACTACAAACTGTTTGTGGTTGTTTTATCACCTTTCCCTTAACACACATAAAAAATGAGGTATTTCGAGTTGTAACTGTGTGTTGATTTTAGATTTAAACCTGTCACGCTTTTGGTTCTGTTAAGTTTTCTTTTGAGTATTCAGTTGTACTTTGCTCCATGTTTTCTAGTTTTAGTGGTTTAATTCCTATTTTGTTGAGTTCTTAGGTTTTTCTTTGTTGCCCTCTTGTAGTAGTCTCCTTTTCCCTAGCTTCCTTCTAGAATTCTCTCTTCACACCTGCTCCCAATCAGCTCATTAGTCCAGTCTTTGTTCAGTCTCCCATATAAACTCTCCCTGTGCAGTTCCTCAGTGCTGGTTTCTCTTCTTTCCTCTTCTTTCCCTGGCTCCTCATTCATGTTTTCCATGATGTCTCCATGATTCTGGTTTTTTTGCATTTTTTAAGTTGGGTTTTTTGGATTCCTGCCTCTCTTATCTGTCATTCCTCCTTTAAGCTACAAGAACTCACCTCTGCCTCCTTGCCTCTGCATTTGGGTCCTCAAAAACTCAACCAATCCCTAACAAAAACTCATATTTTGCTCCCTTTTTTGTGTCCCGTCTGGACAGTCGTCTGTAATCGATTTCGTGTTCAACTTGTTCTTCCTTGAACATTTTCACATACAAACGCTCACTGGAAAAACAATCTAGAAATAAGTAAAAATTTCTCAAATTAAGTGAATTTACCCTTAATTTGAGTAGGTAAATCAGATGATTTGCCACTTGAATAAGTATTTTTACTCTTAGAATAAGGTATTTAGATAAAATGCACTTGAAGTAAGACAATGTAATTGTGTTTTCTTATTTTAAATGTAAATTTTCTTGTTCCATTGGCAAAATGTCCTTTACCTTCTAAGTTCAAGAACAAATGCAATTATTTTAAGAAATAATGACTTATCTAGATTTAGATTTTTCCAGTGCTTTAGGAAATCTGTTACTTCTGTGGCAGCATAAAAGGTATAGTGGAGGTTCTTCTCGACTTATTGAAAAGACCGCCCACTACACTTTAAAGAAAATAGCACATGCACAACCCTGAGGTATCACCTACTAAATGCGTGCGAGAGCATGCACAAGCCCATTTATCCTCGTGCACATTGTTTAACAGTTTTTTTTTTCATCGCTCACACAAACTTATTTTTCAAAAGAAGATTTGCATTTTTTTTACTATGTCAGAGTGGAAATGGGGTAGAGCACGTAGGATGGTCTTACATAAACGCATCACCAGAATGATTGACAGTTAGGAGGACCACTTATTTTGATGATGCACCCGGAAAAAGAGAATCCTTCACTATACCTTAAAGGAATAGTACACCCAAAACATGATTAGCCTTCATTTTCTACTCACCCCCATGCTGAACAACACTCTGGAGTACTTTTTTGATATCTCAAATGCATCTGGAGATCTGGGAGGCTTCTTGCTGTCTGCTGACATTCAAATAATGGAGGTCTATGGTGCCCGAGGCAGAAAGGTCCATAAAAGTCCACAAAAAACGTATCAATATTCCTCCATACTGCTCGTCCAATGTATTCCAAGTGTCCTGAGTGGGTAGCGTTCATAATTTACTCGAAACGAAGTCATTTAGAATGTTTTTAGAACATAAACAGTAGTGTATAGGATTTCCGGAAAGCGCGCACCTGTGCGTTCACTACACTACGGAAGCCGGCAGACCAAACCAGATGAAAGTGCCCATTCAGCGTCTGCTTTGCCAATATTGCAAGCGTAGAAGAAGAAATGTGCTGTTTACCTGTGCAAAGACAAAAAACAAGGAAAGAAAAATGTCTGCGGACTTCAGTGTTGAGGAAGAGCATGAGTTCTTTGCTGAGCTGAATGCGCACTTTCATCTGGTTTGGTCTGCCGGCTTCCGTAGCGTCGTGAACGCGCATGTGCGCGCTTTCAGGAAATCCTAAACCATCGGTTGCTGCAGAGGAAGGTCCTTCAGCTGCATCCATTAGTGCGGCACAAGCCCTGCATTAGGATTGGAAAGAGATGCATCGATACGGTCCGACCAAAACAGCCCCTGAAATCAATAAACATGACAGCAGAGGGGTGGACGCTATTTACAGTAATGGTGATATTTAGAAGGGGTGGCGGGTTGCTCTTTGTGGGAAGACATGTTTGTGTGCGAAAGTGGTCTGAATTTAATTAGCTGTCTGTTCCTCCGTGACCGCTAGAGAAAAGCCGAGCAACCTTCTCGGGATAATAAATGAGTTCCAATTATAAGCAGACCGTTTACAGCTTTAGCCTCTTACCTCCTGAGGTCGACTTTTATTACATATGCAAATATCAATACCATCGAGCAGACGACCTAAACGCAGCTACCTGTTAAGCTGACCCTGAAACTGTTTTGTCTTTGTTTTCAGATGGATCTGAAGCTGAGCTTTATAGCATTTTTAGGACTCTTTTACTGCTGTTTCTCTCAGAAAGGTAAGATTTGTATAATATCTGGTCATTTTTTTTGGTTGTCGGCATGTTCAAAGTGCAAATATCCTGCCTTCAGTAACTGTTTCACACCTACTGAAGCGTAAATGTGGGGGGCTTAACGGGAATCTTGCAATGCAGGGCTGCTCCATCTGACTCTCACTTCTCTGTCTTTGTTTTTCCATCCAGAGGGGAACGAGTGCATAACCGCCAATGCCAAATACTGTGGAGAGTGCATCCAGGCTGGAGCCAAATGTGGCTGGTGTACAGACCCAGTATGTAAATCAAAGTTGTCAGCTACAGTCACTGCAGAGTAATGCAAAGTGTTGGCAACAATATTACAAGGAGAGGATTTCTGTTCTACAGAAAACTCTGATGCACGTTTACAACAACCCTGTGTTTTAGTTTTTCATCCCGAAGAAAATATACCCTTTTGAAGATCATACAGTTTTCATTTCTCTGTGGGGAAAAAACATTATTGGTACTAAAGAATTTAATTGCTTCTTATAATCCTATAATTCTTCTTCTTCTAACATCTTTAAAATCACCTCCTGTGGCATTTTTATTGATTCATATTTTGTGGTGAGCTCCAACCCATTACCCTAGTATTTAACTTCATTTTAAGAATCTTTTTTGATAAAAAGAACAAAACAAAAAATGGTTGGTTTAATGAAGAAACATGCATTTAATTACAAATCTGCTAAAATTTGGTATTTTGGAAGTAATTTGCTTACTAGATCCAGTCCCTCTAACTTGCTTGTTTGATCGTCTCTCTTAGGACTTCCTAAGGCAGGGTGAAACTGTGTCAAGTCGATGCGATGAGGTGCAGGGCCTGATAAAAAGGGGCTGCAACATGACCTTTATCGAGAACCCCCTCGGACAGCAGGACATCGTCCAGAACAAGTCAGTGACCAATCGCAGCAAAGGACTGGTAGCATTAAAACCGGAGGAAATCACACAGGTCCAGCCCCAGAAAGTCAGCCTCACCCTCCGATCTGGTGCGTTAGCATCTTAACAATCACTCCTTCACTCCTGCTCAAAGTTTATATAACATTTTGGTGATATGACAATTATTGTTTGTATATTTAGGTGAGCCCCAGTCTTTTGAGCTGAAGTTTAAAAGAGCAGAAGATTATCCCATCGACCTGTACTACCTGATGGACTTGTCCTATTCTATGAAGGATGATCTGGAGAATGTAAAGAACCTGGGGACCAGCCTGATGGAAGAGATGCAAAAGATCACCTCTGACTTCAGGATAGGTTAGGAACTCCAATGGTTTTTGTATCTATTGCTGCTGCTCGCTGCAGAAAGAATGTGGGGATGGATTCAGTTGCTTTTCTTTGTTTAACATTCATCATTTCACACAGTGGCAGAGAAGCCATATTAGGTATTTATCTCCCACAGAGAGCTACTTAAAGACTCCTACAAACCAAACACCGCTCCCTTCCAAAACGTTGTCTGTAACCTTCGAAGCAACTTAAACCTGTTCTGAGTTTAATAAGATCTGGAGAGAGTTTCCATCTTCACTCATAGTTCATCTTTTAAAGATTTGAACTTCTTACAATCATTCAAAATGTACAGAAAACAAAAGAAACATGTAAAAAACGTTTTTTTTTTAAAACATCTTAATCTCAAAAGTAGGGAAAACAGTTAGATAATTGGTTTTTACTAAAGCTGTGTTCACATGTCAAGGTCTACTGTATTTTCCACACCATAAGGCGTGCTGGATTATATTATGCATCATAAATGAATAGACTGTTTTCAAATTCCAAAAAAAAAGAAAATAAAAAACAATTCACTGGACTTTTCAAAGTTTTAAGAGGTTCCGCTTCCCATCCAGGAAGCTTTCTCGATTCAAAATGTCAGGAATAGTGTCGAGTTTGAGGTTTTATACCAAACAAAGCCTGCTTTCAAACTTTTCCATATATAAGGTACACCGGACTTTAACCCTTTTAAAGCCCGATCCAAGAATAAAACAAAACAGAAAATTACTTTTTTTTGGTTTGAAGTCCTTATTTGGCCTTTTAACAAAATATGTAAAAAAGAAAAAAACAGAAATACATTTTTGATATTAATAATTTATTACTATGCGATAAGTCAAGATTATTTTTTTGTGCATTCTTCTGCCCTCTGTTATAAGGTATATCTGATTGTGTACAATAGGATTTTGAGCAAAGTTTTTACTAGGGATGCACGATATTGGGATTTTGGCCGATATCCGATATGCCGATATTTTAAAACTCATGTAGCCGATAACCGATATCGATACCGATGTTAAAGCTGGACAAAAATAAGTAGTCATTGAAAATAGCAGTTTTGTTATCCATTTCTGACACTTTGAAAAATAATATACTCAAATATATTTTCGTATGCTGATATCAAATAGATTTTTAAAAACGCGGTATCGATCTATTTTACTTTCAAAATCTCGTGAAATTTCATCGTTCTGTTACAAACTCTCGTGATATTTTGCAAATTCTTGTGAGATTTTGTTAGTAAAATAGATTGATGCCGCGTCAATATATCAACATATAAAAATATGGCAACATTTTGTGAATTTTCTGGGGATTTCGTAGCATAACGATGACATATAGCAATATTTCTGTCTGTAAAAAAGAAGTTTTTGAGGAAGAAGAAGAAGTAGTATTTTTTTTTTTTTAGACTTTAGAAACTCAGAAGCTGATCAAATATCGGGTTAAATATCGGTGGGGTGGCCGATGTCCGATATTCAGTTTTAAGGCCAATACAGGCCGATACCGATAGAGGGCCGATTAAATCGTGCATCCCCAGTTTTTACCATTAAATTATGCAAAAAGTGTCAGACACAAAACATTTCAGAAACCGTATGTATCAAATATGATACATTTGGCATTACAGGGATAAAGCCCCGGTCATTTAGCTTTCTTCACTCTCTTCCCATGTCGATTGCTTGAGTCACCTAAAAGGTGTCATTTTGAGGTGGGAGGATTGCCGTTTCAGCTTCCAAGCATTTACAGTTCAGTCATGGAAGTCATTCCCAAGAACTTACAAAGGGACTCCCATTATGATGCAAAAGACCAATCACAAAGCCCCCTGCACGACAAAAGGCTCCTACAGTCCAGAAGAATAAAAACGGGCAAGCAGAATTTACAATGCCTGCTGGATAGATGTCGAAACGTCTTCATAAAAATGGAGCAAAAGTCAGGTTGTCTTCCATTTTAAGCCTGTTTGTGGTGATTTTGCAGAAAAAAGGGACCTTATACATTCAGTAAAATAAAATAAATAAAATAGGGGTGGAACAGTTCACAAAGTCCATGATTCGGTTCGGTTCACGGTTTCGTGGTCACGGTTTTCGGTTCGGTTCGGTATATGTTGATTGTTAGCCTGACATGTTGCTGTTAGCATAAACAAAACGTGTTGCACAACGCTTGCACACTGTTGCACTTTTATCCTCCACTTTCTTTCCGCCGTCATCGTAGGTCACTCTAAATGCAAAGTGGTTCCATACAGCAGACCTATAAAGTGCTGCTGGCGCGTTTTCCAACTCCTGTTCTTTCCCACTCGCCATACCCACACAATTCTCCACAACAACAGATTTTTTTCTGCTACACCCGGCTATGCTGCTTCGCTTCTTCTTCCTGTTTACTACTGGTGGTTGGCTTTGGTCGCAGTACCGCCACCTTCTGCTCTGGAGTGTAAACGCTTCGCCTATGAGAAAAAGGAGCAGCGCATGAACCGAACGCAACACACGCAACACAGTATTTTTCCTACAGCAGAGCTCTGTTTCCTTTAATTTTATCATCTCTAAAAGTATTATATGTATGAATGTAGATACATATATATATTCCACAAGGTAATTTGATTAGAGTACATTGTATAAGGCTGAAACAATAATTCGATTAATCGTTAACTGGATTATAGAGGCTCTAAAACATGTTTTTGGTCGATAGAACACCCCCACTTAGAGCAGTAATTATATCCAAATAAAAAATAAATTAATAAATATTTTGCATTTAAGAAAAAAAAAAGCTATTTCATCTGTCAATATGCTCTATCAGGGTTCCCGCAGGTCCTTAAAAAGTCTTTAAAGGCATTGAATTCTTAAAAATAAAATTATGGCCTTAATTGATATTAAAATGTCTTAAATCAGTCTTTTGTAGGTGTTAATTTTTAAAACATCATAAATAGGATTATTTTTATTATGATTTATTTTTGTAATCTAAATAAAACGATAAAATTGACTTTTTTTAAAAATTATTATAAAAATAAAAAAAAATATCGGCTCGCTTTTATTGGTTCCGTCCCGATAGCGGAACCAATAAAAGCGTTGTTGCGGCCGGGACATTTGGGAGATGCCCCATTTACTTTTTGTCTGGAAAACATGAGCAAGTGTAAATGTAACTAAAATTGGCTCCAGCCAAGAGTTTTCTCCATGGCTAAAACCAGGGAACATACATGAGGCTCAGTGGATTTTGTGCAAGAAGCGATTCAAGCTCGGAACGATGGGAATTAAGGCAGTGGAGTCGCACATGCGAAGCACGAAACACAAGGCGTCAAAATGGAGTTACTCAGAAACAGCCGGTATTTCTCAGTTTAGTTCCACCCTTGTCTCTGCAACGCCTCCACTTATCACCAAATCAAACATACTAAGAAAACGATACAAAGAAAAATAGCTGAAAAAAAGACGTAGCACTGGTTATGTTGTGGCTTTAAAACTGATTTGTTTTGTTCCCTGCTAAAACAAAGTTTGTGAATTCAGTTAAATAATTGTTAAAATATATCTGTCATCTGTGTGTTTTTAGCTTTCTTCCTGTATGGGAAGCTTTTCAAAATTTGAAACATTAGTGCAGTGGTTTATGTTAAAATAAACCTTTGGGTTAAGTTGTCCCAAGCAGGTTTTTCTTGTTTTTCTTGTGAATTTGGTCTTAAATTTTTATTTCAAGTGGCATTAAAAAGTCTTAAAAAGTCTTGAATTTAACTTGCCTTATGCTGTAGGAACCCTGTCTATCCAGAACTCCTTAAGTGGAATTGCTTTAGTTTCTCCTGATTTAAGAACTATTTACTATCTGATTACTAATCGACTAATCTAAAAAAATGTTCAACAGATTGATTAATTAGCAAAATAATCATTAGTTGCAGGACAAATTCCATCCTGAAACCAAATATGTAACTGACTGCATTCATTAAATCAAAGATTTCCTTTCCTGCAGTTCTAAAGATTTTTAATCTGATTTAAATTTCTCATAGATAAAGCTTGAACTCATTGCTTATTTTTACAGATATGTTATCTAGAATGGTCTTCAGAATCAGAAGAAATGCAAATATTAATATTATAAATAATATTTTTTTTGCTGATATCTACTACTCTTTAATTTTTTTTTTTTTTTTTTTTATTGTGCTGCCTGGGATAATTTCATTGTACGAACTGTAAAGTGGTATTTACCAAAATCTAAGTCTGACTGTAACTTTTCCCAAAGGTTTTGGGTCCTTTGTGGAGAAGACAGTCATGCCTTACATCAGCACCACTCCAGCCAAGCTGCTAAACCCTTGCACCGGCGACCAGAACTGCACCAGTCCGTTCAGCTACAAGAACGTGCTGCCACTCACCAGCGACGGAAACATGTTCAACGACCTGGTGGGTGTGCAACAGATCTCTGGGAACCTGGACTCTCCTGAAGGGGGCTTTGACGCCATCATGCAAGTGGCTGTCTGTGGGGTAAGCAAAATGATTCGCTACCATTCTCCCATCTCTTAGGAAATATCCACTGAGGTTTTAGGGTATTTTATTCCCCCGTTCCGTAAATTTCACCACTTGCTTGCAGCTACGCCTCACCAGATGTAACCAGTAAAGTTTATGGGCTGATTTCTTTCAGGAAACTTATTTTTAATGAGTCGTCTCTGCTCGCTGGGAGATTTTGGCTTCATATCAAAACCTCATTTGTATCTTTTTAAGCTGCTCATATAAACAAGTTTCCTGGGATATAAGTGATCGCAGATCATTGTTTTTAAATTATTTTTTTTTTTTTCGTTTCAGGAGCAGATTGGCTGGAGGAATGTAACCCGCCTGCTGGTGTTTTCCACTGACGCCGGGTTCCACTTTGCTGGGGATGGCAAGCTGGGTGGCATTGTGCTGCCCAACGATGGGAAATGCCACCTAGAGAACAACGTTTACACAATGAGCCACTACTATGTATGGAGACGTTACAGCTTTGGCAATATTTAATTGTTTTCTGTGAAGTGTAGTTAAAGATCCAACTCTGTTCTAATTTAAGGACTACCCCTCCATTGCTCACCTGGTTCAGAAGCTGAGCGATAACAACATTCAGACCATATTTGCCGTCACAGGAGACTTCCAGCCGGTTTACCAGGTCAGCTCACATCAGCCTCTTTCTGTTCCTTTTGAAGAAATAAATCTGAGATTTAAGCTGAATGAAACTACAAATAATCACAAACTGTGGCTATATGTTAATCTGGTCAACGTCTAATTCTGTATTTGAAGCATAATTCTGCATAAATTTGGAGAGTTTGTATGGTTGCTTAAAGTCCTTTACTAACCTGAAATTTAAGAATAATTTATCTACATATAACTGTAAATAGGAGGAATTTTTATTTATTTATTTTTATTTAGAAAGACAGATTTCCATCACATCAGTAATCACAGCCATCCATTTAAAATTATAACTCAAGATATAAGCAGAAAGTCCAAATTATTTTGTCCATGTTGCCTTTCTGGTATTTTTAACAGAATATCACTAACTTAATTGTAAAGATAACAAAAAACAGAATTAAACAGTAATGGGGATTGCACCACCTCGAGTAATAAAAAAACCCACAAAGACATAAGAGGGCAAGACATATTTCAGAAGAAAAATCAAATGAAGTCGGATCTAATTGGTTTCACGTACTCAGTCCATTTGGACCAAATCTTATAAAATGTTTCTTTTTCTAATTGGAGGGAAAAACAGATCCTTTCCATCACATAAATCTGGTAAACAATTTCAATCCATTCATCAATAGAGCCTGCATTTATTAATTACGATATTTTGGGAAATTAACTGGTTTAGAAGCCAAAGAGAGTTTAACAGGATGCAAATCTGTTGGGAGGTTTTCCTACAGCCAGCTGTTTACAGGAATATAAAAAAGCAGAAAAAATAGCATTTGTAAAGAGATAAACAAAGATGTATTGTTTATAAATTATGATTAATGTGATTTAGGTACTCTTTGACTCATTTCTCTTTCTCCTTCAAAGAATCACAAATGACAAAATATCACAAAATTATACAAATGAATTAAACCTGATTAAAATAAAACAAAAACATTCAAAAAACTCTTCAAAATAAGAGCTTGATAAAGAAAATTAAAAAAAATCCTCCTTTGTCTTTGATGGAATGAGATATTGCATGTCTCTAAAAACATTGTTCATATCGGGATAAAAATCTATTATGATAGAGCCAACATAGTTAAACCCATCGCACATTGAGTTTATCGGGGCGGTGCTGACAACACGCTCTAAACTGCACCTTAAACTCTTATTTCCTTCAGCCCCAGCATCGTTTACAGGGGATGATTCCCTGCTTTCTTTAACAAGGCGCTGCACTCTGGTAAACAGATGCTCTTTAACAGACACCCTTAACCCACAGATAGACTTGCAGAGAATTTTTAAATGTGTGTTTCAATGGACCAAAAGTTAATTTTTTTCAGTTTCACCACTGATGATCTAGATGAGCTGTGTAATCTCTGTAAAGCCCTGCTTAATGTTTCCTCCTTGTCTCTGTAGGAACTTAAAAACCTGATACCAAAGTCTGCAGTGGGTACTCTGTCAAGTAATTCAAGCAATGTCATCAACCTCATCATAGACGCCTATAACGTAAGTGCAAAGTTACAATCATCTCCAGCTAAACTGATTAAATTACCTTCTCATTGTTTTAAAGCCTTCTGAATTTAGTGTATTTTTTTTTTCCAAGCCTGCGTTCCTCTTTTAATCTGCAGCTAAGCCTTTGTTTATGCTCCGCTGTCAAAAACCAAGCTTCCAGATGGCATTCCAGTGAGGAAACTATGTTGTCTTATCTTTTGGTTTCTGGCAGTCTCTTTCTTCTGAAGTGATTCTGGAGAACAGCAAGCTTCCAGATGGAGTGACTATAGCGTACACGGCCCGCTGTAAGAACGGCGTGACCAATGTGGGGGAAAATGGAAGGAAGTGCTCCAATATCTCCATTGGAGATGAGGTGGGAAACAAAAGATCTTATTGTTTATAGAAAGTGATGTTCTTATGTTACAAATAACATAGTTTATTGGTCAAGGGAGGCAGTGTTACACTGGAAAAAATCAAAATCTAGATAAAATAAGTGAATTTTTCTTGGATTCAGGAGGTAAAAGAGACATTTTACCAATGGAACAAGACAAATAACACTTAAAATAAGAAAAAAACAATTGCATTGTCTTATTTCAAGTGCATATTATCTAATTATCTTATTTTAAGAGTAAATATACTCATTCCATTGGAAAACTTTATCATTAACCTACTCAAATGAACGATAAATACACTTAATTTAGGAAATTTTTACTTATTTCTAGATCGTTTTTCCAGTATATTCAATGAAAAAAATATCTTTTTCTTTAAATAGTAATAACCATATTCTATTCAGGAATCGTGCAACATCAATTCAACACCTAACCTTTGCTCTACAGAGCGATATGAATTCAGAATGACAGAATTCAGAAAAAAAGGACGTAAAGCATGATATTGAAGTAAAATGAAGATAAACTCATGTTTGATAGCAAACCTTAAACAGTTTTTTTTTAGATATGAAGATTGTGAGAGTGTTTTTGTTTTTAATATTCAGAGGATGAGTAGAATGTGGAGACATTTCCATTATTGTCAGGTTGGTATATAAGCTATGATGAATAAAGTGCTATTAAGTAGAACACATCACCCCAGTTCTAAAGTCCTTCCACTGGCTCCCTGTATCTCAGAGAATAGACTTTAAAATACTTCTGTTAGTCTATAAATCTCTGAATGGCTTAGCAACTAAATACATCACAGACTTGCTATCAGTGTATCAACCCTCCAGACCACTCAGGTCTTCTGCCTCCAGCCTGCTCTGCATACCTAGAACCAGAACTAAACATGGAGAAGCAGCATTTAGTTCCTATGCTCCACTTATCTGGAACAAACTTCCAGAAAACTGTAAAAGTCTGAGTTCCTTTAAATCAAGACTAAAAACTCATTTGTTTAGGATTGCCTTCGACTGTTCTAGTTAAACAGTTTCACTGAAACATATTTTCTTTAGTCCAACTGTTTTTAATATTGTTTTTGTTTCTGCATTTTTTATTTTATTTTTTTTTTTCCTACTTGCTTTGATTCTGTTTTATCTTCCTGTATTTTAATCATGTAAAGCACTTTGCATTGTCTTTGTACTGAATTGTGCTATACAAATAAATTTGCCTTGCCTTGCCTTGCCTTGACACCTCAACTGAGGAAAGGATCAAATAGCTGTTAATAAAACAATGAGTGTTTGGTTTTGGACAGTGTTTGTGTAGATATTCAGAAAATGTTAAGCAAATGCATTTTGCTTCTGGTGGAGGAGGAAGGCAGAAGGTTAGATGTTAGCTTAGAGGAAAGGTACCATCTTGATTCCAGGAATAATCTATATCCCATTTAAGATGAAAAAAGTCAACTGAGAGCAAAACTTTTAAGAAAAGTAGTATAAATCTAATCTATTAATATCTGCACTCTGTATATTTATAGTCATCTGATGGTAATATTTTGTTGTTGATAAACCAGGTTTTCGTTTAACAAAACAACTAATAGTTATTTCAGTAATGATGCAAAGGTCTCTTTATCTACGTGTCTACGTATTTTCACGACCATAAGGCGCACCGTACTAAAAGGCGCAGTCTCAGTTATGTGTGCCATTTCTGTATTTAACACACACATAAGGCGAGCCGGACTATAGGGCGCGGGTTTTATATACAGGTACATGTCCTCTACTACGTTTAAATACCTCTACTGCGTATTTAAAAATAGAGCGGGAGCAAAACTGAGTATGATTGTGCTTTATTCATGTATTTATTACAAAGTATTAATCAAACCCATTGAAGTCATCATCCTCTGTTTCTGAATTAAACAGCTGCGCTAAATCAGACATGCCAATTTCCCCTTCTTCGCTGTCGGAGTCACTTTCCGTGCCGTGCGGCTCCTCGGAAATGATGCCAGCAGACACGTTAGCCCAAGCATCTGCAATCCATCCGCAAACTGTGGCGTAACTTGCCCGGCGCTACCTTCCACTTTTCGTGAAACTGTGGTCTCCGTCTGTCATCCATCTCTGCCACGCCGCTCGCAGCCTTACTTTGAACGGCCGGTTCACATCGATGTCGAGCGGTTGAAGTTCCTTTGTCAGACCTCCCGGAATAACAGCGAGAACAGCGTTCATTTGTTTCACCTTGTTTTTCACATCGGCTGTGAGATGGGCACGCATGGAGTCACAGATTAACAGCGATGGTGATGCGTGGAAAAAACCACCTGGTCTCCTTACATACACCTCCCTCAGCCACTCTTTCATCATCTCCTCATCCATCCAGCCCTCTTAATTTGCCTTAATAACGACTCCAGCTGGAAAAGTCTCTTTAGGCAAAGTCTTTCTCTTAAAAATCACCATAGGCGGCAGTTTCTATCCATCCATGCCCACACTTCCCCTTTTAACGTTCTTATGGTGGTCTCAAACGTCCGCAGTAACAACACACATAGGGCGTGCCGCACATTTTGAGGGGAAAAAAAGACGTTTATATGCGCCTTATAGTCACGAAAATACGGTATAATCTTTGGAAAAAAAGCTATACTATGTCAAACAGTGGAAAATATAATTTTTTGGAATTTTTTTTAAAACCAAATATTTAATTTGTGCATTTGAAATCTTATTTTAAACATTTTACAAAATTTGCCTGATTAGTTTGAGTAAAATCCAGAGCAGATAATCCTAATCTTGAAAGTTCTGATGAATATTTTCTGAATAGTGGCGTGTTTGGTTGGTACTATCTGTAGAATTACTATGTATTGTATTGTAGTACTTTTATAATTGGTGTCACATAAAAAAACCTGCTACAAAGCCTTTCCAGTTTCCAGCCATTTATTCAACAGTGCAGTAATAGATGGATTCTGCTTTAGTCAGTAAAGGAAAAAAGAAAATGTGAATCAAGGAGAAGTTTTAGTCGCGCCGGCAACTTGTGTGACATTAGATACTCAGGAGAAAAATGTTTTCTTTAATTTGTACAAGTTTTTCAATTGTTTTTCTTCAACCACAGGTCCATTTTAACATCAGCATCACCTCTAAGGGTTGTCCAAACGATGGAAAGCCTGAGATCATCAAGGTAAGGCCCCTGGGGTTCACCGAGGAGGTCGAAATCACCCTCAACTTCATCTGTGAGTGCGACTGCCACCATCAACGCATAGAGAATAGCCCAGACTGCCACTTTGGTAACGGAACCTACGAGTGTGGCGCCTGCAGGTAACGGCACGACCAAAACCCTTACATGTCTGTAAGAAATCCCTGGATACTAGTTTTCCAACCTGCGTGTCAGGTGCAAAGATGGCCGCGTGGGCAGGAAGTGCGAGTGCAGCAGCAACGACGTGGCCACAGAGGACATGGACCGGACCTGCCGCAAAGACAACGGCACCGACATCTGCAGCAACAATGGAGAATGCGTGTGCGGCACATGTGAGTGCAAGACGAGAGAAAACCCAGAGGAGAGGTACAGCGGCCAGTTCTGCGAGTGCGATAACTTTAACTGCGACCGCTCTGGGAACAAACTCTGTGGAGGTAAGTTTATTGGAGGTTTAAATGTGGGGGAACCCTATAGTGGACTAGAGTCGTTGCATGAGATTCTGTTATGGATTCTGTAGATGGGTTGAACACATGAAACATGGAAACTTGACTGAAAGTTAAGTAGAAATAGAACTGAAAGGAGAATGAAAATTTTCTTTTCACTTCAGAAGTTTAACCCTTTATAGAGCACTCAATGAAATCCTTTGAAAATCTAAATTTTAAGCCAATAGTTTTATTGGAATCCAGGACAAGACCTTATTACCTTTGTAACATTCAAAAAATATGGATATTTTGATAGCAAAAATGTATGTCAATGTAATAACAACAAACGCCAACTTGCACAAATGTATTAAGAAAAATAAAAAATGCTTCTATAAGAAGTTCATTTTAAAAACTCTGAGAGTGAAAGAAACACATTTTTTTGGTACAACATAGGCTTAGTGGCATTAATGCTGATACTGGCCCTAACATTTTTTAGTTTATAAAGCTAAATAAAAATGTTAACTAGGCTTATTAACTGTTTAACTTTTCAATTAGCTTTTTACCTTTTTTCTTGACATGTTAACTTATTTTTTCAACTTAATTTACAGTAGATAATAGATCATTCAAGCGCTCTAATTGGTCAATTGCTAAAAAAAGGCCTTATAGCATATCTTTGCTGAATGGCTGGATATAGATCTTCTGCTCCTAGACATCACTGAGGGACGGCGATGGGGGGGGACTTTGGTAATGGGTATGCAAATGATCAAAAACGCTAACTTGCCCTATAAAGGGTTAATAGAGTCATAGACTCTACTCTAGATATAAATGATTTTATTATACCTGTATATTATGCTACAGACAGTTTAAGAAAATACTTGGAACACACATTTGTTTAATAAAAACACAGAAATAAGCTAAACAAGGTAAAATAAAAATAAACCATAACCAGAACAAATCTATCAGAGGAGAGTTTTCTTATTCTCTTTCATCTGGAAAACAATTTGAACCTTTACCAAGTTATATCTGATACTGATTATTATAAAATAACTACAGTCGATCCCCAATATGTGCTGACAATTTTGTAAACAATATTGTTTTTTAATGTTAACAAATGTTACATAATTCTCAAATTAAATAGAAAAAAAATAAATATTTCTTAATATATCATAGAAAACATTAACAATGGAAAGCAATGGAGGGAGCAGCAATGCTTGTGCTTCATGGGATTTTAAAACATGGCGGCTGAATGCACGAATGAATCTACAAATGCATTCAGCTATCAGTCGATGCCAATACAATCAAAATTGGCCAAACATATTGACTTGCTTACGGTTTGGTCTGCCTCTCATCCTGTACTTTGCCCAGTTTAATGAAACCAAGTCTGCTTATGACTTGAAGTACGTATTACTCCCTACGCTAAAAATTAAAAGTGAATTAAGTCATTGGTATTGTACGGAAGAGGATTAGGGCCACTGAAAAAAAAAGAAGTTAACTGATTTTTAAATTCAATTTCAGTTTAATATGTGAAAAAAGTCAGAATTCTGACTTTTTTCTCAGAATTCTGACAGCTAAGAAACATGTTAGCATCAAGCCATAACCATGTCTTTTTTAGAGACTAGCTCTCTTGTTTTAATGACCTTCTGCTCCTCCATTAATGAGGGGACCTGTCGGGCATGTAAAAAGTTGCCTAATTCCGTCATTTTCCAATGACTAATTCCGTCATTTTGTGTCACTGGCAACCTCAAACAACTCACATCTTTGTCAGTGAAGCTGAGTGCTCCCACATCTCTTCCTTCATGGCGCCCATCTACATTAAGATCCAAAATTCTGAGATTAAAGTCAGAATTCTGAGAAAAAAGTCCGAATTCTGAGATTAAAGTCAGAGTTCTGCGGAAAAAAAGTCAGAATTCTGAGATTAAAGTCAGAATTCTGAGAAAAAAGTCCGAATTCTGAGATTAAAGTCAGAGTTCTGGGGGGAAAAAGTCTGAATTCTGAGATTAAAGTCAGAATTCTGAGAAAAAAAGTCAGAATTCTGAGATTAAAGTCAGAGTTCTGGGGAAAAAAAGTCAGAATTCTGAGATTAAAGTCAGAATTCTGAGAAAAAAAGTCAGAATTCTGAGATTTAAATCAGAGTTCTGGGGAAAAAAAGTCAGAATTCTGAGATTAAAGTGAAATAAAATTTAAAAATCAGTTTACTTTTTTTTTCTTTTTTTCAGTGGCCCTAATCCTCTTCCGTAGTATTGGATGTAAAAGAATACATTTTTATTTTGTTATCTCTTTTTTATATAAAAATAAAAAACTCTAGCCAGTTACTTCCCTCTTAAACCCCCAGGATGTTGATTCTGCCCCTGAATATAAATAAATGATGAGAAAAGTGTTTAGACCAGTGTTTTTTTTTGTAAAACTTCTTAAAGGGGAAACAAATTTTTTGATACTGCATCAGTATGGTCAGATTCACACATTAGAAACAAAATACAACAATCTGATCAGTTCATCTCCAATTGGGTTCAAAATCCCAGAAATAAATTTTTTCCTTTATGTTATTTGTGATGTTAGAACCATGAATGATATTCTCCCCCACCAAAGAAGACACTGTTCTAATAAGCTATTGTTCTCTTCGCTGCAGGGCACGGAAAATGCGTGTGCAGGAAGTGCGTCTGTGACCCCATGTGGAACGGAACGGCCTGCGACTGTTCTCTGGACCAGAGCACGTGTCTGGCCAAAAACAAGCAGATCTGTAACGGCAGAGGACGGTGCGAATGCGGTACCTGCAAGTGTGATGATCCTAAATTCCAGGGTTCGACGTGCGAAATGTGCCCCACCTGTCCCGGAGTCTGTGCTGAACACAAGTAAGAAATTACCTTGATCGCATGACCATAAGGTTTATATTTTAAAGAAATATTCTCATGCTGAGACTAGCAGGCATTCCTCTTGACAGTTTAAGAGTTCTCCAAGGCACTGAGAAAAATCACACTGCGAAAAATCTAAAACTAGATAAGTCATTTTTTCTTAAAATAAGTCAATTTGTTCTTGGATTGAAGAGGTAAAAGAGACATTTTGCCAATGGAACAAGACAATTTACACTTAAAATAAGAAACCAAAGTTGCATTGTCTTATTTCAAGTGCATATTATCTAATTATCTTATTTTAAGCAGTAGTTTGCCAATGGAATGAGTAAAATGACTCATTCCATTGGCAAACTATCTCATTTACCTACTCAAATTAAGGTTGAATACCCTTAATTTAAGACATTTTAACTTATTTCTAGATTGTTCTTGCAGTGCAGGGGTATAGATTCCAAAGGGGTTTTGCAAAATGCTTGTCAAGCTAATGAAAGACATATTTTATCAAAGGAATTCCTTTTAAGATATGTACAGGATGAGTAAATCATAGATGCTTCCTGGAAAGACTCTACATCACCAGATTTTTGGTATTGTTTCGTCAGAGACTGCGTGGAGTGCCGGGCGTTTGGCACTGGGGAGAAGAAGGAAACGTGTCAGAAAGAATGCAGCTACTTCACCTTGTTTAAAGTGAAAAGCAGGGAAAAGCTACCCCAACCCAACGACGGTGCCTACCCCATCGGTCACTGCAAAGAGAGGGACGCCAACGACTGCTGGATGTACTACACATACAGCGTCACCAACAACACAGAGAACGTGGTCTACGTCTTGGAGGAGCCTGGTGAGCACAGACTCATCGTGGGGGGTGGAGACGTTGGACGAAACATAAAGATTCACCTTAGAGGCTACAAAACTCTGCTGCTCTGTTTCAGATTGTCCCACCGGCCCAGATATCATCCCCATTGTGGCAGGCGTGGTCGCCGGTATCGTTCTGATAGGCTTGGCACTCCTGCTCATCTGGAAGCTGCTTATGATTATCCACGACAGGAGAGAGTTCGCCAAGTTTGAGAAGGAGAAGATGAACGCCAAGTGGGATACGGTGGGTTCCCGAAACTGTATCTCTCTCTATGAGAGTCTACAGGATCAACATGGCTGATGTTTGTCTGAGGTTTTTAGTAAAGCGGCTTAAATGTGGAAAACAGGTGTAGTTCGGCCTCCATTTCTTCCCAGGAAAGGTAGTCAGTTGTTCTTAGCAGCAGATGGGATTTGCAGCCATGTTTATGTCATTACGAGCGCTCTTGCTCTCGCTGGCAGCAGCAAAGGCAGATTGAATTTGTTGCTTTCGAACAGGGCTCAACTGAAAAAGGAAAAACGCTAGAGTCTGTGTGGACTTTTTTGGGAATGCTATGTGCTCTGTGCATAACAAGACTTTCCAGGGAGGGGCTACAGCTTCTTCCCTCCCTGATTCCTCCCTCATGTCACATTGGGAGCCAACAGCAACAGTATGTAAAGCAGGAATTTGCTCTGTATCATGTGAAGTCGTACTCCGCCATCTAGTGGAGGTATGGCGTTATGGTTGCTGCAGAAGACAGGTTAACACGCCATTATCTTCTCCTTCATCGCTCCGCTGCAGGAAAGGCATAAACTATAGATTAGACCTTAATGAGACCGGTATTTTAGGACATAAAAATACAAATAAGGGGGAAATCATGGCATTATGTCCTTAATACATTAAAGATCTGTAAAAAAAATCACTTATTAAATTTACCCCTAACTGTCACTCTAAACATAATAAAAACAGCATACCCAAGTATAAATAGATGCTGTTCTTTAAAGGAGTTGAAACTACGTAAACAGGAAAAACTGCAGAGTATTTTTTTATAGGTTAAACCTCCAAACTAGCTTTCTAAGCTGGAGTCTGTTTACAAAGTGATTTTTTGATTAAGAGTGGGAGCACATTTTCAGAGTTTGTTGGAAATTTCTGTTTCCTTCTCCATACTTGCTCTGATTTTTTATCATCTTTCCTGTCCTCATGAGGTTTTAAAGTAAGACGCGGTAGAAGTGATGCTTTACTTTTTTGGATGATTAGTTATCGTACTGAATTGTTCGATTACTGAGTTTTATCTTATAAAACTGGTCCCAAATTAAAATAAGCAATGTATTAAGTCATGCATAAAAAGTTATTTAAAATTTCGCCAGCTCTTGTTAAAGTGCTAATTTTCCTATCCAGAACACTTAAAGGAAAATTCCGGTTTTTAACACTTTTAGCCCATTTTCTGTAGTGTCCAGGATGAAATCGAATGATCGACACCAAAATTTTGACAATTGGTCCTGTCTCTGCTATTTGGCTCATGCAAAATCCCCCCCTGGCTGCTTCAGAATGGCTTCCATTGTGCATGTCCAATAATGTCCTTAAAACAACCTTAAACGTTCTTTTTTTAAAATATGCTACTCACCGGGTCTTCAGCGCTGTTCAATGACGTTCCAAAAAAAGTTTCGTAAAGAAAAAACGTTCCTGTAGTGTTTTATTTAGCATTTTGTAAATCCCATTGAGTTCTTTTGGAATAGTCAATATCCCTCCACCACCGGAAACGGAAATGGGGCCTGTTTACACTTAGTTGTAGTCTTTTCGCTTCACTCTGTGTACTCCGACGTTGAGGTGCTAACGTCTCTGTTAAACACTTTAAAAAACTCTGAAAATGGAATACGAAAGGTGGATTCTTGAGGAGGACATATTGGACTTTGAGTTTGACGGCAGAGGATACCGTTTTGAACCGGAATATACTGAGGAGGAGTATATAGAGACATTGTCGCCAACTAGTGGTCTGGAGTGTGCAACGCTTCAGATTCGAACGGGAAGCGGAAGTTTATAAGCGGTTGTGATGTATCGGAAAAAATAGTTCTGGGATTTACAAAATGCTAAATAAAACAAGACAGGAACGGTTTTTCTTCACGAAACTTTTTTTGGAACGTCATTGAACAGCGCTGACGACCCGGTGAGTAGCATATTTTTAAAAAAGAACGTTTAAGGTTGTTTTAAGGACATTATCGGACATGCACAATGGAAGCCATTCTGAAGCAGCCAGGGGGGGATTCTAAATGAGCCAAATAGCAGAGACAGGACCAATTGTCAAAATTTTGGTGTCGATCATTCGAATGCATCCTGGACACTACAGAAAATGGGCTAAAAGTGTTAAAAACCGGAATTTTCCTTTAATAATCAATGCGGGTTTCTATTAAGACGCAAAGTAAGAGGAATGTAAAAAAGGCTCCACTCTCCCTGAAGAAGATTCGCTAACAAATTCCCTGAAAAAAGCCCAACTTACAACAGATGTGCAGTGGGTCAACTTTAAATCATGTTGGCCGTGCAGCGCCTTTGGTAATAATATCTCATCAACAATTTTCCCGGTAGCTGAGTGCTGATTTCCTTATTGCAGTAAAGTAATTTCCCTATGAGATTATGAAAGTATTTCTGATTCTGATTAATCCACACTTTTAAATGTTGCAGCACAAGCAGATGTTTAGGCACATAATGCTGCAATTTCTTCTTCCCCAATATTTGGCACTTCTATATCATCGAAAATAGGAACGATAAGATTTGAACAACAGAGAATTTAAAGGTTTGAACTGGTTCCCATTGATTCTCAATGCCCAACACTAGTGAAAAACCAATTGCTATCTGCTTCTTGTTAATGTTTTCTCAAAGCTCATTTCACTTTGTCAACGTTTGCATACATAATCCATCTGAAATTTTCTTCAAATTCATGTTTATTACTCTTTGGAATAAAAATAAACATAAATAAATCTCATTCTGACCTGAATTTGGCTTTTATGTACACACATTTATGTGGATAAAACATAAGCAACATTAGCACTTTTCTATACTCTCCTTTCCTGCTCTCTTTATAGGTAAAGATTTAGACAAGAAGCAGCATGTAGAGCCTACCTGAAGATGACCCACAGATTTTTGGAATCCCAGTTTTTAATGGATAGATACAGGAGTAGTGATAGCAACTCAGACTATTGTTAGCATCCAAGAATGCACTGTTTCCAACTCTCAAGTAAGGAAGGTTGCAACTGGCTGTCCTGAAAGTCGCCATAAGTCCTTAGATGATGTCATCACCTACTTTTCGTACTTGGTCATGTTTTTAACCAGCCGTAGAAAAAATGACCATCAATATTGGTGAGGCAAAAAGTGACTGAAAACACCCTAAATACATTTGAAACTAAAATTAAACTATTCAAAAACATTTCTGAACCAAAGTAGTAAACAGTAAATCAATCTTAAGTTAACAAGTGTATCTTTTTTTATTTAATTAAAGCTAGCAGATGCATACATAGGGGAACGAGGCTGTGTATGAATTAGGTTCCGGGAGAAATCTATGTTAGTGCAACAGATTCAAAGGAAAAAAACAAAGCATTTCGTGTTACCTTATTTTTTTTCAATCCTGCTTTGGGGGGGGGTCAGTGGAAGCACATAAGCAACTCTTTTTCAGAGTCGTTTTTCTCTCTTTTACTGCAGAGACGTTTTCCTGCTGACTAACCTCGGCCTTTTAGTGCTTTAGGGGACGAGCCGCAGCAGCCTTCATTCTCACTGAAGACAGTAAACTAAGAGCGACCCGTGCTCTCACGTTATAACCAAAGTCTCTGTTGGAAACCTACATATGGAATTGGAAATTTCACGTCTTTTAGATCTTAAAATCATAACTGTAAAAACCTTTTTTTATAGTAATATCCACCTGTATATTATATTCGGTACATATCCAGCTGTAAATTTAGTTCATAACACTAGTGATCTATATATTATATTCATTATTTATAATAGTATTCATCTCTATACTCATTCAGTAGAAAAACCCATGTCCTGTATTTATGGAACCATTATTTATCCTGCACTTCTGGTTAGACCTAAACTGCTTTTTGTTGCCTTGTACCTGTACATGTGTAATGACTACAAAGTTGAATCTAATCTAATCTGAATCTAATCTAATATAAAAACTGAAACAGAAGACATTGATTTTTCTCGGAAGTATTGGTTTCATTTATCCTGGAAATCATACAACAACCAAAATTAATTGTATTATTTTTAAAGAACAAGGCACAGAGGCTGCATATTTAATAGGCTTTCATTTTCCAGTAGTGCAGACGGGTATGTAGCACCCTGAGCTGCAATGCAGTCACCATCTAAAGCCGAGGGTTGCAAAAATTAGTGTCCCTAACTAAAGAACAGTGATGCACTTGCTTTCTCTTAAAGTAATAAAAAGGAAGCACAATGGGCAAGGCAAGGCAAGGCAAATTTATTTGTATAGCACAATTCAATACAAAGACAATGCAAAGTGCTTCACACCATTAAAATACAGGAAAATAAAACAGAATCAAAGCAAGTAGGAAAAAATAAATAAAATAAAAAATGCAGAAAAAATAAAAAATATTTAAAACAGTTGGACTAAAGAAAATATGTTTTAGTTGAACTGTTTAACTAGAACAGTCGAAGGCAATCCTAAACAAATGTGTTTTTAGTCTTGATTTAAAGGAACTCAGGCTTTCCGCACTTTTACAGTTTTCTGGAAGTTTGTTCCAGATAAGTGGAGCATAGGAACTAAATGCTGCTTCTCCATGTTTAGTTCTGGTTCTAGGTCTGCAGAGCAGGCTGGAGCCAGAAGACCTGAGTGGTCTGGAGGGTTGATACACTGATAGCAAGTCTGTGATGTATTTAGGTGCTAAGCCATTCAGAGATTTATAGACTAACAGAAGTATTTTAAAGTCTGTTCTCTGAGATACAGGGAGCCAGTGGAAGGACTTTAGAACTGGGGTGATGTGCTCTACTTTCTTAGTCTTAGTGAGGACACAGGCAGCAGTGTGGAGTATTTATTAAGAACGGATCACCGTGGTCTGAGGAAAGCAGCTAGCAGAAACTGGACATTTCTTTTACTGGATTAAACCGCTAGATGTATTTCTATAGAAAGAAAAGTAACTCAGGTTTTAGATAAGAGATTGATCATTAAGTATAAGTGTTTTTACAAATAGCAAAAATAACTCTTTACAATTTGAGAATACCATAAAGCAACCCATTCAACCTTCTCTAAGGTTACAAATTGAGCATTAAAGCCAAAATGAAAAAAATTTCAAGGGTGTTAACAACTGAGCAGATGAGAAATATACAATTATCTAATCAGCATGATATATATAATATTCTCACATATAATGTGATAGGACAAGGAGTCCTAATGTACAGCCCTGAGGAACTCCGTCAGAGGTTTTATCAAGTAAACAATCTAACTCTATGGGGCGACAGTGTTCTGTCTTTAATTTGGTTCGATAGACCCCTGCAACCGGTTCTTATTATATCTCTCAGTCAGTAAATAGGCCCCGCCTCTTATTCTCTAAAAGAACCTTGCACAGAACGGCAGCTCCTAAAAGGTAGCTTTGTAGTCGGCTGTGTCAGCCTTCACCCTCTGCTCTCTCACTTGTCCTTATTCCTCTCTGGTTACTGTTAATTATTCTTTTTTTACTGTTCTGATGTTCTTCATTTCACTACTGAACTCTCTTCTGTCCTCATTCTCCACCTGTAGCAAGAAAACCCAATTTACAAGAGTCCAATCAATCAGTTCCAGAACCCAAACTATGGACGTAAAGGCGCTGTCCTTTGAGTTCGTATTTCCTTTCCTCTGCTCTTGGTCTTCCTGCATGGGCTATCTCTCTCTCCGTGTGTCCCTTCTATTCATTCTCTCTTTTTAACAGCATAGCAGGTGTCATTGTGGGGGTTTAAATTTGAAAAGATTTGCATGAGCGTGTTGTGACGCACTTTTTTGCAAGTCTTGGGTGTTTTGAAAAAAAACATCAACTCTAGTGTTATCTGGTAGGTGTTTGACCTAAGGCTTAATGTGTCCCCCTGGCTGTCCGGCACACACGCATGTCTGTTTGTAAAGTGTGACCTGCATACATGACGTGTCCATTAAGGGATGAGCAATACTTATATTCAGTGACTAATTTTTGTGTGTCATGTTTTTGGAAACTAAAACGTTTTTGCAACAGTATTGAAGTTTTATGCATTTTTTTTTCAGATTAAAACCACAAACTTAAATATTTGCTATTGACATCTTATCTTGACAAAGATTAAGTAAAGCAGTGTAGGACTTGGAAGAAAACAAATGATTTTTCTAAATATTGTATCCACAAATTTAGTTAGATGAGGGTCAGGGTGCATCTTTTTGACCATCTCAGAAAGTACTTTATTCAGCAAAGACAGCTAATATGCTTCAACGATAAGGATTATAATTAGCATTTTGATATTTTTGGTCTGAATTAATACAGCATTAATCACCATGTTTTATTTTTTTACACAGTAGTAATAAAAAGGCACCAATGGGTTAAAGCTTTGCGCCAAATGTCACACAGAAACTGCTGTTGCTAAAACTAAGAAATGGCTGAAAAATAACATGAAAAAGTACAACTATAACTTTAAATAGAGCATCTCAATATAAGCTATATAGTCTATTATCTACTAAGGGTCTTGATATGTTTAAATTCTCAACATATTATAGATTATTATAGGTTAACAGCTAATCTAGTTAGGTTGGATCTGGAGATGTTAGAAGGTAATGATGGGTGATAGTTGGAGGAAAACCGTTGCACACTTGTTCAACTGTTCAATCTGCTGGTGGAGATTCTCAGTCATCCAGGTCTTAGTCATTTCAAAAAGTTCAGGTAGAAAAACAAACCACTGGATTTTGTTTTCCAAGTTTGAAGATGTCTGGCCTCCCATTAGGGGTGGAACGGTTCACAAAATCCACAGTTCGGTTCACGGTTTCATGGTCACGGTTTTCGGTTCTGTTCGGTACATGTTGATCGTTAGCCTGACATGTTAGTTATGTTGCTGTTAGCATAAACAAAACGTGTTGCACAATGCTTGCACACTGTTGCACTTTTATCCACAACTTTCTTTCCGCTGTCATCAAAGGTCACTCTAAATGCAAAGTGGTCCCATACAGCAGACCTATAAAGTGCTGCTGGCGCGTCTTCCAACTCCTGTTCTTTCCCACTCGCCATACCCACACAATTCTCCACAACAACTGATTTTTTTCTTGCTACGCTGCTTCGCTTCTTCTTGTTCTTGTTTACTACTGGTGGTTGGCTTTGGTCGCAGTACCGCCACCTTCTGCTCTGGAGTGTAAACGCTTCGCCTATGAGAAAAAGGAGCAGCGCATGAACCGAATGCAACACACGCGAACCGAACCGAGACAGTCGAACCGAACGGTTCGGACGGTTTTCATAAACTGTTCCATCCCTACTTCCCATCCAAGAAGCTTTCTCAATTAAAAACGTCTGGATTAGCATTGAGTTCCAGGTTTTTATAGAGTAGCCAATCAAAAGCCTTGTAATGGATGCTATGTGCTAACCTGACTCCGCCAGATGGATTTGCTCCGTATATCCATCTGGAAACCTTCCGTTGAAGTAATTTTGGGAAGGGGCGAAAATACTGGTTAGCTGATTGGCCTATGTTGGTGATAGACGGGCCAAATAAACCAATCAGATCAACGAAGCATATGACGTACTAACAGAGCGACGACGAAGAGGAGCCAATTGATAGATCAAATTCTTGCCGAAACCAGTCGGGAGAAGAGCAAAAACATCTTTTCCTCTGAGAAAAGCCTCCAGAGCAGTGTTTTGCTCTTCTTTCAGTAAAGAAATACTCTGTAATTCCGATAAAACTTGCTCGATAGCCACGCTAACGCTAGTTTCATCGGCTGAAGCCGCCATGTTCTTTAGACTGAACTGTCGCGCTTCTCGTTGCGTCACACCTCAACACTGATTGGACGTTCGTTTGGTGAACGGCTCCAAATTTTCTTTAACGGAGAGTAGCCAGACTGATCTGCGAGTGAAACATTGAAAGTTCGCGAGATCAGGATGGTCTCACGAGGCTAGCTATGTGCATGTTTTATCATGCACATAGTCATTAAAAGGCTTTTATTGGGCTACTCTATAACAGCGGGCTCTCAACGCTAATCCAGGCATTTTGAATTGAGAAAGCGTCCTAGATGGAAAGCGAAATGTCTTCAAACTTGGAAAACGAAGTCCGGTGGATTGTTTTTTTACTTAAACTTTTATGAACTGTTCACCTTCCATCCGGACTTTTTTTTATCAATCAACTACTTTGTGTTGATCTTTTACATAAAAGCCCAGCAATACAGGTTTGTGGTTTTAAAACAACTAAATGTATAAAAAAAGAGAGTTTTCTCCCGGGAACTTTGTATGAGGTTTTGGATTTTAACTCTCCTTTTTTGTTTCCTCCACAGGGTGAAAATCCTATCTACAAAAGTGCCGTCACGACTGTGGTCAATCCTAAATATGAAGGCAAATGATGACCTGCTGAAACGTCTTGAATTGTTACTTCAACTATCCAACAGCTGTTGCATTTACCGCTGGTTTGGGGTCCGACCGAAGAGAGCGGTGGAAAAATTTATGCATTTGTCTCGTCGCTTCGTCATAACATTGTATCACCTGCCCACAGCATCTTTTTTTTTTTTTTTTTTTACTAACACGTATGACTTATACCCATGTGTTGTATTGTTGTGTACAGTGTATGTTGTGTGTACATACTCAGAGAAACTGAAGTGGGTGTTTCTTTCCTGCTGACGGACTGGTCCTATCGGAATTTGAAGCCTATGGATTTAGACGAACGACTTCTTCAGCTTCTGCTTCTCTTCGCATAAACTCCCGTTTGATACGTCACTTTTGAGCCGTAGCCGCACAGCTTTTTATGTATATTTAGAGAACAATTGCAATAAGATATTCTGAACAATGTCAAACAGCTTTCAGTTTAAGCCGGACGCTTGCCGTGAAACAGCAGATAATACAGCGGTTGTAAATTTGGTTTTGAGTTAAGATGTGATATAAGATTTTATCGTGCTCTGATAGAAAGAAGTCAAAACACACAGAAAGAGTACTATTACTATTTTTATGCAGTTTTTAGATAGCCTTATATCATAAAGGGATTGTAAACCACTTGTTAAAACAATGAATTTGCAGCAATTTTAAACAATCAAAGGATTTCTTTACCTGTTAAACTAGAGATACAAATATGTTTTTTTTTCCTGCATTCACTTTTATCCTCAGGTCCCATGTGTTTTCATGTCAGTCGCGCTAAATTTATGCTTGTTTTTTATGCTAGTTTTAATATTATTCACACTGAAAGACAGAAAATGTCACATGAATGACCCCAGAAATGTGCTCACACCCAAATGCCTCTAAATTCCACACACAGGCCTTTTACAATGTTGCTTTCAAAGTGCCTTTCTTTTTTTATTTGATTTTATGATCATATTCAACTCAGTGCTGTTCACAAGATATTTATTAAATACACCAAAAAAAGTGTATTTCTGTGTGGCTAGTTTGTGATTAAAAACAGACCATCATACACTACCCCAAAACTGAATTTAAATGGCTTCGTACTTTTACTTTGTTTATTAAATACGAAATGTTTTATTTTTTTTATTTTTATGAATTAATATAACATTAATTTGACACAATATTATACTGGTAGTTTTTTGATAATATTTTGGTTTGTGTCATGTTGGATTCAAGGCGTCCAACCCACATGCAGAAAACACTCAGGAGGCAGAGAAAAAGTTCAAAGGTTTATTTACAAAAATGTACAATGAAATGTGAACTGGTCCTTGGTTTGGCAGACTGGTCACGAGGGGATCACCACTGAGGAGGACAGAGAGGTTAATGTTTGATCCAGGTTAACTGCAGGTTTTCTGATGTAGGAGTATATACCTGCTCAAGGGTTGAACGGAGCTGCAGAGGGGGGAACCTTGAGGGTCCAGAGGCTAGTCGGCAGGCTGAGGGCAGAGGCTTAACTGAGTGCAGGCAGGCAGATTCCAAACAGAGAAACTCTCCAGGATATCACTGAGTGCAGGCAGGCAGATTTCAGACAGAGATCACTCTCCAGGATTTCAGATCTTCAGGCTGGACTCTGTGAGGCAGAGAGAAACCGGGTCAGGCAGGTTCAAAAAGTCAGAGATTCAGATCAGGTAATTTGGCTTAGGTCTAGCTCTACCATTACTGGCAAACACTCTGGCAGGGAAGTGTTAGCCTCCTCCTCCTTAAATGGAGCCTCCTGATGAGCAGATTGAAGACAGGTGTTGCAGTCAGCTCATGCCCCCAGGAGATCTTGTGCGCCCTCTGGTGGAGAAAGTGGACAAAGCCTCCAGATCCCAACAGTTTGTCAGAACTATCCGTGATCCATTATGACATAGAAATCTTCCCCAAGACAATGTAAACAGCAGTTTCCTATGATAAAGAGGAGCAATGTGTGTTGAGTTATTTTGGGATTCGTCTGCCTGAACTCGACCAGGATTGGCACAGAGGACGCAGGAAACAACTCAGATCAACTTAGTCATTTCTTTTATTTGACTTTTGTCATTTTCTGTTGAATCATAAGCAGGTTGATAACCTCAACAAAGAAAAGAAAAACAAACAGAAATTAGTTCCACCATGAACAATAGTCACAAATGCAAACATGTTTAGTTCTCTATATTAGACTTAGTCTAATATAGATAAACTTAAATTAAACATTCTTTATCTCATTTATTTTCTCTCATTTTCTCATTTAATTTCTTAAATTAAACATTCCGATCAGTATCATCAATCACATTTGATGATTTACTAGAACATAAGTGGGAGAATGAAGTGAGATACATACCAGTAGCATCTCTGTGCTCCACTGACTCAAACCACTAGCCTCGTGAGACCATCCTGATCTCGCGAGCTTTCAAGATTTCACTCGCTAATCAGTCTGGAGACTCTCCTTTAAAGAAAATTTGGAGCCGTTCACCAAATGAACGTCCAATCAGCGTTGGCTTTGAGGCGGGTTGAGGATTGACGCAACGAGAAGCGCGACAGTTCAGTCTAAAGAACATGGCGGGTTCAGCCGATGAAACTAGCGTTAGCGTGGCTATTGAGCAAGTTTTATCGGAATTAGTATTTCTTTACTGAAAGAAGAGCAAAACACTGCTCTGGAGGCTTTTCTCAGAGGAAAAGATGTTTTTGCTCTTCTCCCGACTGGTTTCGACAAGAGTGTGATCTATCACTTGGCTCCTCTTCGTCGTCGCTCTGTTAGTACGTCATATGCTTCGTTGATCTGATTGGTTTATTTGGGCCGTCTATCACCAACATAGGCCAATCAGCTAACCAGTATTTTCGCCCCTTCCCAAAATTACTTCAACGGAAGGTTTCCAGATGGATATGCGGAGCAAATCCATCTGGCGGAGTCAGGTTATCAAACCACACCCAGGGCAAACAAACAAAAGGCCCCTCAGGTGCTCAATCAAGGTTAATCACCCTAGAGCAGGGGTCACCAACGTGGTGCCCGCGGGCACCAAGGGGCCCCTTATTGACCAAATGGTGTGCCCTCAGACTTCTAAGAAAAGAACAATTCAGCAGTGGGCTAAGTTTGAAATTTTATTCTATTTTGTTTCTCTCATTTTTTTAATAATTTATAGATCCTTTCAAAATGACAATGTCTAAAATACAATTAGAACTTAAAGGAAACAATACATTTTTTTTAATAATGTATAATGAAGTTTAGGTGAACGGGTCAGTATTGGTAGCCCTTCCTATGACTCATTACCCTTGAAGTGGCCCTCAGCCTTAAAAAGGTTGGTGACCCCTGCCCTAGAGCTTCTTGCTCTCTACTCTCTCTCTGAACACCATGTGAACACTTGGGCTCTCTACTGCCCTCTGACACACTCCATGCACAAAGTAGACATCGCCACATCCCAGAGTGAAAAATATAAAAAGAAAAACAAGAAAATTAAACAGCATACAACACATAACCCAACAATGTGACTATGTCTCTTAAAGAGTTAAGGTTTTTTGCAACTTATTAAACCAAACTTTGAGAAATGTGGTGCTAATTCAAATGGTAAACTAAATGTTTTCCACATAAATACTGTAGATACAAAAAAAATACTGATAAAGTAGGCAAGTTAAGATTTTTAAAGGAGCAATATGTAAAACATTTGGTGTAAAATTAACTAAAATCATTTGCATTTGTCTCCTGGGATGGAAATAATTCCTCTCTATTTAGTCCATCAACAATATCTTAGTCAGGTTTTTCTCTTTTGAAACCTACAGGTGTGTGTGGAACTACACTGCAAAAAAAAATAAAAATAAAGGACACAGATTAACAACTCAATAAACTACAGTTACATCAAACCTCTGTGAATCATGCTGTCCGCTTAGGAAGCAACACTGATTGACAATCAATTTCAGATGCTGTTGTGCAAATGACAGCAGGTGAAAAATATATTCAATTAACACGACACAATAAAGTAATGGTTCTGCAGGGGACCACAGAACACTTCTCAGTACCTATACTTTGATGATGTTTTGGTCACTTTTGATTGCTTCTGGTGCTTTTTACACTCATGGTAGCATGAGACGGACACTGCAACCCACACGAGTGGATGGCACATCAGGATGGCGAGCTGTGGAAAGAAGGTTTGCTGTGTCTGTTGGCATAGTGTCCAGAGTCTGGAGAAAGGTTAGTACACCAGGACATGTTGAGGAGGCTGTAGGATGCAGCAACCCAGCAGCAGAACCGCCACCTTTGCCTTTTGCAAGGACGCACAGGAGGAGGACTGCCATTCCCCAGCAATATTACCTCCAGTAGGCAACAAATGTACATGTCTCTGCTCAAATGTTAGAAACCGACTCCATGAGGATGGAATGAGGGCCCGATGTCCACAGATGGGGGTTGTGCTTTCAGTGCAACATCAGGCAGGACGCTTGGTATTTGCCAAAGAACACCAGGATTGGCAAATTCACCATTGGTTCCCTGTGATCTCCACAAAATAAAACATGTTAACATAGAGTCTGAAGACACCATGGAGTGCAATCTGCTTTGAAGGGCTTTTAGGATGTGTGGTGGTTCGAGTCCAACTCTATGGTAAATGGTAAATGGCCTGTACTTATATAGTGCTTTTTTTCAAGTCAGGAGACTTGAAAGCGCTTTACACTACATTCAGTCATTCACCCATTCATGCACACACTCACAACCCTGGGGCTCATGACAGAAGCGGGGCTGCCGTACACTGGCGCCACCGGGCCCTCTGACCACCATCAGTAGGCCATACAGGTGAAGTGTCTTGCCCAAGGACACAACGACAATGAAGCCGGGCAAACTCCTTCGATTTCAGGGCAAACTCCTACATCCGACACCACTGTGCGAACTCTACCTAAGATGGCTCCAGAAAGTTCTGTATCCAAGTGCAGAGTGATGACCCAATCCTAAATGATGGGATGTTGTACTTAGTTTGCAGGAGATCTCAGTAAACAATAAGCTTTAGTCCACTCATGGCATCCTGAGATCCATGCCCTGCCCCTCCAGGTGGATCAGTCCAGAGTGGAAAGCTAAAGGAAAAATGTTTTCTGCACAACGGTTTTTCTTTTATGCAAACTGGTGCGGGTTTACTAATGTCAGGGGATATTTTTATTTTGTAATATGAGACGACCAATTCCTGCATTAGATTGTTAGTGGGAGCACTATCCTTTATACTTTATATACGTTATACTTTTTTTCTTTGGTTATGGTAAAATGATGGATGGTTTCAGAAATTTACGGACCGTTTCTAAGAAATAAACTTGACTTAATATCTTTAAAATCTCTACAAGTTGTTTAGGACACTCCCCAAGAATCTTGCAAGGAACTTCATCTGTACCAAATGAACATATCTTTTGTTTACTTATATTTTTAGTTTACTTTAACATCTTTGCTTGTGCTTAATGTCAGATGTTGCCCCTTTCTGCTGATATTATGGAAACGGTCACCTTCTGTCTGTTATCAAACCTCATGAAGAAGATATTCAGCTCATTTGGTGGTGAGGGTGAGGAGTTTATGTAGACGGTGGTTATTTTTTGTAGCATTTGAGAGCCTTAGGCTGTCTGATGCCTGTCCACATGACCTTGGTGTGAGTATTGTTAAAGTAATCCTTAATACGTCGTTTATATGAACAGGGCTGGGAGGGCTACCTAAACCTTGCATTCAAGTAAACCAACTTCATAATATTTTAACTCAAGAAATCAGTCAACCAAGAAATTACTCAAGAGTAAAAAACAATTGGTGAAAAAGCTACTCAAGTACTGAATACGTCACCATGATGTCTGAAAAATATGTGATATATACCGACTTAAATGCAAAGGTATATGAAAGTTCCAATATTTTTAAATTCTTTAATAAAATAATTAAAACACAGCAAAAATTCCATTAAAAAACACTTCCAGGGAGGACAAACGCCTTTTCAAAATATAATTTTTAACATGAAATGTACCTCCAGTACCGCCACTGAAAGTATTTACTCCTTACTATATATTACTTTGACCTCTAAATGTCATGGTAGGTTCAAGTGGTTCAAGTAAGCTTGTGTACAAAATAAAACACCCATTTTGATATAAACATTAACTGCATTTCTTTATCTTCTGCACAAAAAAAAAAAATCGTATTAATTAATCTGTGAAATTACCCGAGATCAATGGAGTGGCCAAACATTTTTTCAAAAGTAGCAATATTTTATTAAGATAGTACTCAATAGAAAATCAAAATTTTAGTGCAGTAAAACAAAATCTAAATCTACATTTTTGTCAAAACATAACTAAGTTAACTGTAACAGAGTAAATTTAACTAGTTACTATCTACCTCTGTATATTTTTTTTAACCTTTTAACACGATTTTATATCTTTAAAAAATGTCTTATTTTGCTTTGTGCACATTAAAGACAAAGAAAACTAAATAACTCCATGATTGGATAAATCATTTTTGGTCTAGAATGATTAGGTCAATAAAATTGTTAACTACAAAGTAGTTGGTTAAGCCTTATGCAATGATTAAACTGTTGCTTGGAGTCAGAAAATATACAAAGACCACCAATAAAATAAGATTCCCAAAGCGTATGTGACATTAAACATAAGTGTTAAGGATCTAAAATGTTTCCATTACAAAATGATAACAAAACAGAACTAAAATATAAAGAAGACTCAAAATGCTTTGCTTATATTGTTAACCTGGTATCCCAGATAAATCATGACTCAAATGCATAACTTATAAAATAGTAAATATTGCTTAGAGCTGAAAAAAAGCAGCAGAAAACTATTTTTCCTGCTAAGGTTTTTATGTTATTACTCTACAAATGTGTAGTTTCTGTTTCTTCTCATGTTTTTGTCTTATAACTAGATGTAGAACCTGATTGGTAAAATAATAGAATCTAAAATTCTCCCTAATGTCTGCCTGTTTTATTATACAATCTCATTTTGACAACAACTTTGTTTGGAAAAATAAAGGCTGCTATTTAAAAAAAAAGATCTAAGCTGCCCCGAGAGGTAATGGCGGCATTGAATTGTTAGAATATATGGATATGAACCATACCTTGAAGATAAAACGGATAAAAGAATGTTTGAAAAAGCCAGAATCTCTTTGGTACTTTATACCACAGAATATTATAGGAAAATCGCAGGCTTACCCTTTCTTCTAAATTGCAATTATGAGGTTTCAAAATTACCAATAAAATTATCTAAATTTCACCAACAAGCTTTATCAGCAGCAAAATTGCGCTTTGTCCATAATTTCTCCCCGCACAGAACTAGTATCTGGAATAACCAATTCATAACTAGGAAAAATAAATCTTTATTTCTGGAAAAAATGGATTGACAAAGGAATAATTTATCTTAAGGATTTACAAAATAACAAAGGTGAAATTTTTAGTTATGGAGAATTTCTTAAATCCAAAATCTTTCCCATTACCTATAAGGAATTTCAAATGGTGATAAATACTATCCCTGGTGGTATTCTCCAATTGCTCAAAGGTCATTTTAAAAGCCAAGAGGCAGAGAAAGTGGACCTCAACCTCTTTATTAATGGTGTAAACTTTATAAGTCATCAATGTAATAATAAACATATAAGGAACTTTTTTTTTAGGAAAAGGGAAGTTTTCCTAAAATTTGTATGGTCCTCCTCTTTCCCTGATATTAACTGGAAAATAACATGGCTCCTTCCACACAAATTAGCTATTTCTAACAAAATAAAAGAAATCCAATACAAAATTATACATAATATTTACCCTACTAATGCCTTTTTAGCTAAATTTGTCAATGTCAACGCCAACTGTGTATTCTGTAATACTGAGGAGGAAACAATTAATCATCTATTTTTTGATTGTAAATTTTCACAGATATTCTGGAAAGAAGTTGAGGTGTACATCATATCGCACTCCAACACACCAATTAAACTACAAGCCAAATATATCATCTTACACTATACTAATAATGATAGGAAAATGCAATTATTGGTTAACTTGATTATTCTAATTGCAAAATTCCACATATGCAAAACCAAATTTTCTAAAGGTCGACCTTTCTTCCCTGTGTTTGAAAATGATTTAAAAATTTACTTCAAGCGTATCCAAAGAATCAGCAATAAAAAATGTATTCACACTGTTAACGTAATTCGGGAAATATTTGGAGAAATGTAAAATATCTTGGCCCTTTTTTTTTCTTTTGGTTTTTGTCTTTTGTTTTTTTTGTCTTTGTTTAAATCTAATTTAAAGTTAAAGTATGTCATATTTTAACTGTAATTGCACTCCATCATTGAACACTTATTCTGGAGATACTGTTCTATTTCTTGAGATATGTTATGTTAATATTTTGTAATTTGCAACTTTTCAATAAAGTAAAAAAAAAAAATCTAATTTTGACAACCGGAAGTGCCAACATGTCACGCCGGATATGGTTGGAGTGAGACATCCCACCGAGTCAAACCCATCTGTGCTGTTTAGCTTCAACAAGGAGCCAAACTCTCGGTTATTGGAATTTTAAGAGACAGAGAAAGTCCTATTTAAAAGAAATGGAAGACGACGTCTTAACGACGCTGAAGATTTTGATAATTGGAGAGAGTGGCGTTGGGAAGTCAAGGTAAGATGAAGCTTTATTGTGCTAAGAACATAAGAATCAGCGCTACCTTGGATCATAGCTAATGTGAGTTAGCTAGCATCTTTCTCCCGTTGAAGGCGTTTTAATTTGATGCATTTTTTAGTGAACCTTGGTTTAACTTAAGTGAACATTTCCAGGTATGTTTTGTATACGTTTTTAAGAAAGTTTAGCAAACTGACAGCGTTAAATGACAAAGAAAGTGAGCCTTTTTATTGTTGCTGGTTGGCTAGCTAATAGCAGGTAGCTGTTGGATGAGCTCATCTTTGTTCGCACTAGTATATGTTGTAATCAGCATGAGGGTTCTGTCTCACGGTTGACTATGACGCTAAAAAAAAAGTATTTCGTATCTGTAAATAATATTTCTCTGCTTAGGTTTTTAGTCCCACACCAACTGGTTTGTTGTTTTGATCCTAAATAGCAGAATTGGCTACTAGATGTTACACTTCATATCAATTGATTAGCCAAATTTAAAACAGAACTCTGATACTGGGCACATTTTTAGGGCAAGATGCTTGTTAAAGTATTTAGTGAACAATATGTTCATACGTGGATTAATGATCAATCCAAAAGTCCATCCATCATCTCTCACTTCCTGTTGCCTAATAATGAAGCAGGTTCCAGAAACCCCTGTCCTTCTGAACAGCATCCAGAGCATATGGACATAGCTAAAGAAACATTTGGAGGAGATTCCCAATGAAGCCTTCATGATCAGATGCCATATTCGTCCCACATGACTGCTTTTGAGGAGTATTTATTTTTTATTTAACCAGGGAAAAAAAAATCCCATTGAGATTAAAAACCTCTTTTTCAAGGGATGTCCTGGCCAAGAGGCAGCAAAGTTGCATAAGAAACAGATGCATTAAATGCTTCAGATTCTTTCACTTTCAGCTTTAAAGCATTTAAAGATAAAAAATTTCTTTGTAAAAAAAAATTTAAAAAAAATCCACGCACAAGGAGCACAAAGGCTTTCTTCCCTAGTTCTGTCAAAAGAAACAGTGAGCAACAGCTGATTGTTGGATTTTGGGCATAAGAAGCCATGCTTTTCTGTGTAAGTAAGGTATAAATCTCAGAGGGCAGTAGTCAAAGAGTAGCAGCTGTCTCTCCTCTGGAGGATGGAGTTCCCCCCCCTTTGGCTGATCCTGTCATCTCAAGGCAGAGCAGGCTCTTTGGAGCTCATTCATTGTCAATTTCTGAATAGATATGGGGCTGCTATAATCATCTTTTTAAGTGATTACTCAAGATGCATACGGTGGTATTTGTGCATGCATATAAACCCCAACATCAACTAATTACTTTCATTTCAACCAAAAAAAAAGCAGTCATCCATCTTTCCCTCTTTCTCTAAGTTGTCACAACAAACTATTCCATAAAAAAGAACATTAAAAACAATCCACTGCACTATGTTTCCAAGTTTGAAACCTACCCAACACAAAGTCCAGTGGATTGTTTTTTTTGTTTGAAAGACCATGATCTGGATAACTGAGAATCTTCACAGCACATGACAAACTATTTATAATAGTAGGTAATAGAATAAGATTTGAAATTTAAAAAGGGATATGGATTCTAAATGCTGTCTGTTTCTGATCAACTGTGTGTGGCCTGTTATAGGGCAAGTAGCATGAGCTGATCTTATCTTGTCACTCAGTTAAGCTAGGTCCTGGCCCACATTTAGCTTGAGAGAGCTTCAGGACGTGGGTTGTCTGTTAAGAATTGTTGCTACTGCTGCTGTGATTGGTCAAAAGCTCAACATGTGAGGCATTTGCCACTTGGTGATTTACCCAATCAGCTCAAAGAATTGTATTCAAAGTCTTACGTTTTTGCAAACAATTTCCAGAGGAGCCTTTCCAGACTGATGTGTAGAATTAAGATTGAACTACAGGTATCAATCTGGCATTAGCCAGATTGATAAAGTTTATTAAAAATATCCATATATTGACTGAAAGGAAGTAAACTATTCAACACTAATAACAGGGTTCCCGCGGGTCCTTAAAAAGTCTAAAAAGGCATTGAATTCTTCAAAATAAAATTAAGGCCTTAATTGGTATTAAAATGTCTTAAATCAGTCTTTCGTAGGTCTTAATTTTTAAAACATCATAAATAGGATTATTTTTATTACGATTTATTTTTGTAATCTAAATAAAACATTAAAATTGACTTTTTTTTTTATTAAAAAAAAAAAGGATGGCTCGCCATTATTGGTTCCGTCCCGATAGCGGAACCAATAAAAGCGTTGTTGCGGCCGGGACATTTGGGAGATGCAAGTGTAAATGTAACCAAAATTGTCTCCAGCCAAGAGTTTTCTCCATGGCTAAAACCAGGGAACATACATGAGGCTCAGTAGATTTTGTGCAAGAAGCGATTAAAGTTTGGAACCATGGGAATTAAGGCAGTGGAGTCACACATGCGAAGCACGAAACACAAAGCGTCAAAATGGAGTTACCGAGAAACAGCCGGTATTTCTCAGTTTTGTTCCACCCTTGTCTCTGCAACGCCTCCGCTTATCACCAAATCAAACATACTAAGAAAACGATACAAAGAAAAATAGCTGCAAAAAAGACTTAGCACTGGTTATGTTGTGGCTTTAAAACTGATTTGTTTTGTTCCTGCTAAAACAAAGTTTGTGAATTCAGTTAAATAATTGTTAAAATATATCTGTCATTTGTGTGTTTTTAGCTTTCTTCCTGTATGGGAAGCTTTTCAAAATTTGAAACATTAGTGCAGTGGTTTATGTTAAAACAAACCTTTGGGTTAAGTTGTCTCAAGCGGATTTTTCTTGTGTTTCTTGTGAATTTGGTCTTAAATTTTTATTTCAAGTGGCATTAAAAAGTCTTAAAAAGTCTTGAATTTAACTTTCCTTATGCTGTAGGAACCCTGCCAATAAGGTTTCTTTGAAAGAGTAACGATTTCGGTTGATGGATAATTTTAGGGCTTCAGCATAGCTAAACGGGGAGCTCCTTTAGCACTTCAGGACAAACGTTGGCTGTTGATCCGTCCACTTGATGCTTCATCCGGGCATCATTCAACAGAATTTAGGCACCAACATTCATGGAGCTAACAACAGTGTTTGTTTTTCCCCAAAAATATGAAAATCTAAGTATTCTCAAACTTATTGCTGTTTCCATGGAAGAATTGTTATTACTAGATAGATATTAAGAGGTGGGATGTTGTCCATGTTCTTCTCCTGTGGTTCTGCAGCTTGATGTTGACGGATGCTGTGGCTCCAACATAAACCCTCCTGGCATGGTGCTCTTTATGTTTAGTATTTCATCAGTCATATCAACGGCAGTGTTTCCATGAAGCTGTGTTGTGTCATTAGTTGCAGTAGGCCCCTCGCTTATAAAACAAACTCGGTTCATGATTAGCTTCAGATGTCGTGATTATTATCCTGATCCAGGGTTTTAGCATTAGTTTAGGAAACGAGTGGATTTATTTTTATTCTATCGCTTCCGATCATCAGGAAGATTACTGCTTGGCTCACATTTTATTTACCTTAAACCAGTGGTTTCCACAGCACCGCTCCGTACCTCAGTGGACCTAAAACACTAAGAACATGATGCTGTTTCCATCACTGCATACATGGATTCTATAGAGCTTTGTTTTGGTCAGTAAAACCTCCGCAATAGCTATGAGATGATGGACTTTAGACTTAATTAGTCACTGTTAGGAAATGCCCTATGCCCTATGTGTGCTGCTGACATCATCCGAAGCATATGTATGTCTATGGTGGAGGCAAAGAGCAAAATAATCAATAGAAAGATACTAAGATGCAGATTTAGATGAGTTTAGTGGACATTTGAGCCAGGGGACAGGAAATCGTGCTTGCAGCAGAATCTGGCAGTGATTCATAATGAGACCTGACCTCCTCCTTCCTGTCTTCCCATCAACAGCCTCCTCCTAAGATTCACAGATGACATGTTTGACCCGGAGCAATCAGCCACCATTGGTGAGTAAAGACAGAACATATAAAAATGATGTAGAAATTGTCTGAAATCTAAATTCTTTGAGATATGTGCAGGACATTGACTACACCCTGTCTGAAAGGAAGTAAATGGTTTGATTGGTGAGAAATGCCAAAAGGATTCCTGTTTGTTAAAACGGTGAAAAATTCAAATAAGTGGATTTTAGGCCCTTTAAACTCAGTAGGAAAGCCTAGCTGTTGTCACGGCTGTTTAAGCCTCTGATAGGTTGACTTTATCATTAGTTAACCGGATTTATAATTATATATGTAAGGCAGTTTTAAAGTACAGTGTGTAATAATTGGAATAGTAGCCTTTCAAATGTCCCCACTTTCCTTGGTTGGTCCTTGTCAGTCCCCTTCATTTCCTTTTTAAACACATAAAATACTCTTTTTGTCATGATTTGTGGACATTAAGATCTAAAGAGAAGCATCATCTCCTGTTCAGACCCTGTAATTCAGTGGAAGGGTAGAGTCGGAGTAAAAAAAATATGCACGCCCAGAGAAGACCAGTGGCTGGAAGTTGGAGAGGATTTTGCTGCCATTCCGCTGGCTTTTGACTTGGAAGGGTCATTTTGAATGGCTGCTACTGTACAGGGATTTACTGGTATATAGAATCTATATTTATTTTATTATCACCTATGAACTGAGAATCTCAATATTTGTTTGCCTTGCCTCAGAAATTGATATTTATACCTTAAGGATGGAACGGTTTATTAAAACCGTCCGAACCGTTCGGTTTGACTGTCTCGGTTCGGTTCGCGTGTGTTGCGTTCGGTTCTTGCGCTGCTCCTTTTTCTCATAGGTGAAGCGTTTACACTCCAGAGCAGAAGGTGGCGGTACTGCGACCAAAGCCAACCACCAGTAGTAAACAAGAAGAAGAAGTGAAGCAGTGTAGCAGAAAAAAATCAGTTGTTGTGGAGAATTGTGTGGGTATGGCGAGTGGGAAAGAACAGGAGGTGGAAGACGCGCCAGCAGCACTTTATAGGTCTGCTGTATGGGACCACTTTGCATTTAGAGTGACCTACGATGACGGCGGAAAGAAAGTTGTGGATAAAAGTGCAACAGTGTGCAAGCATTATGCAACACGTTTTGTTTATGCTAACAGCAACACGACCAACATGACAGGCTAACCCCGAAATCCCACATACTCCGTCAGCGCTCCGCTCCGCTGCGCTCCAGACCGCCTGCACAAAGCAAAGCCTACAGCCTCCGCTGTGGCTCCCGTCCGCTCCGAGTTCCTTGGAGATCGTAGAGAGCATGCGTGAGATGATTAAATTCAAAGCAGCAAAACGTGCGGAAATAATCCAGGGTTTCCTCAGTTCATTAAAAATAATTACAATTCATTATTTTTTGGGGGATTTTTTCATTAATTTCAGTAATTTTTTTGGGATTTCGGGGTAACAATCAACATATACCGAACCGAAAACCTTGACCACGAAACCGTGAACCGAACTGAACAGTGGATTTTGTGAACCGTTCCACCCCTATTATACCTGTATAGGATTGGGTTTCCATTTGTGGAGGGGGGCATCTTTCATGCTACGGCAGACCAGAGCTGACAAACTAGGGGCTATAGAGATCGCCATTACGGAAAGTTAGGCCCATATCCAATCCTACACAGAGTGATAAAATACTACTTCTAAAAATATCTATTTAGACTAAACTTACATCGGCTACGACCCTCAACGGCCCGGTTATTATGAAGGTGACCGATTTCAAGTGCCAGTTTTCCCTTTTTTTTGTTGTTGTTTTCCGTGAGGACCCGCATCTTTCCCCTGCCCTCGCTCCATGGTTATTTTGGTCAGAGTGCCTAAACAGGGGGACAAATAGTGTGTGGCGGTGGATTCGTACTTGGATGAGATTCCAATACTGTGTGGGAATGACCTTAAATCGGCGGTCTTAAACAGGGACCCCTAGGGAGTCCACGGAGGTACAGCATGGGGGTTGCAGAAGTTTTTTTTTTTTTTTTTTATATTCCCCCTGCTATTTTTTAACTAATTGAAATGTCTTTAAATACACATTAACATGAATTCAACACACTGTAGTAAACAGATAAATGGAGGCAGAAGATGTCTTTCAGTCATCAATGCACACATTCAGTGACACACAGGAGCTCTTTGAAGCTGGGCACCGTTTCATTCACCTGTCCCATCAATGGGGAATCAGAATCAGAAATACTTTAATAATCCCAGGGAGAAATTACTTTCGTTACATTACTCCATCTGTAATATAGTGACTATAGGACCGGTTTGATGTAACACAATTTAATACAATATATGTTCTTAAGGGGTGCCCACACCATCTCGCCATCAGTTTCAGGGTCCCCTGCCTTAAATTATTCAATTCAGAAAGGAGATGGTTTCTGCAGTGATTTTTGGTTTACTCGAATTACTAAACTTGTTGTTCGATATTTTTTAGATGTATTTAGATGGTAACAGGGCTGTATGCAAATCTATACGGAACCACCAAAAGCCTTATTGTATGTCTCATTGGAAGGCGAATGACTCTGTAATGAAGACTATGTAACCTAACGAGTAACTCCTCTCTCAGACCACAGCACATGTAGGTTTGTGTTTGTGCTGCTGGTTCGCTGACAGATGAACCTTCAACAGCTTTATGCTTGGGTTTCACTGAAAGCGTTTGTGCAGTAGATACACCGCCCAGCGTCTGTGCTGCGGATTCTGCCAAGCACCCTATTCCATCGGGCTAGGGATAAGAGATGGATTTTTACTCTGATCGTGTGAGGATTTTATCATAGTGCAGTAGTACTACATACTACAACGCGGTGCCCACAGGCACCGAGGGGCCCTGAAGGACCACATGGGATGCCCTTATAGAACAACTCACTAGTACTCCTGTTTTTTAATCTTTTATAGAGCATTAGACAATGTTTCAAATAAAATTAGAAATGAAAATATATTTATAATGTACAAAGTTTAGGTGAACACTGACCCTTGCAGTTCATTGGTCAGTATTGGTTGCCCTACCTATGACTCGGTACCCTTGAATTGGCCCTGAGCCTTAAAAATGTTGGTGACCCCTGATGTAGACTTTAAATAAAGTGGTTATTTGGCCAATACAACCGGTATCTGGTATGGCTGCTCTCTATCTGGTCACCTTACCTTTCTGCCACAGCAGGTAATGTTGTTTTGACGTTTTGGAGTGAAATGCGATCCACGGTCTGCCCATGGATTATTAAACTCCACCAGAACCACTTTGCTTTTTAGCAAATGACATTCTGCCTGAACGATTCACTCTATTCTAAATTGTGAAGGACTTAAAGCATCAAGCCTAAAAAGTAGAACAGTCGCGTATTTTGGAGAAGCGTCCAGCTGGGAACACTTCCGGGGCGCCTCAAGGACTCTTCGTGGACGCACAGAATGATATCATTCTGACTAGCTGCGATCAACGGACGATCCACAATGTTAAAGCATAATGGCTGATTTATACTTCGAAACTAGGTCGTCTGGTAGGTGACACGGTGAACGCAGAGACGTCCCCGCAGATAGCAGACAGGAGGGCTCTGATTGGTCAAATCTAAATCCGCTCTACACTATGCGTGTTTTCCTACCTTACCGGCTTGTTTTGTTTGTATGACCGCAATTCTAAGCCCTCCTCAGTAAATTGACCAGAGTGTCTCAGAGTCAGAACAAACACACCCAAGGGGGTGGGGGGGGCTTAGTCATTCACATTAGAGAGGGAAGCATGGTATGTTCTCGCTGATTGTTTCCACAGGTTTCTTTCTGTGGCTGTTTTCAGTTCAAGCCCACATGTTTCTCAGCCTCACACATGAAAACCACAGCGTCCCCTTAGCGATGCATTCGGATGCGCGGCCACAGCCTTGTTCATCTAATGGACCTGAGCCGGACCTGACGTCCGCCTTAGCAGGAGCTCAGAGGCAGTTTGTGGTTCTGTGTGTTTTGATAATTCATCAGCAATAATTGGTCTGGCTGCCTGATATGATATTCTTGGCAGTAACTGAGCCAACCTGTGCGAGTCATCATCCTCGGAACGAAGAATGAGGTAATGGTGGCGCTCTGACCGACTGTCTGAATTGTTTTTGTTGTCCAGGTGTCGATTTCAAGGTGAAGACCTTATCTGTGGATGGTAACAAGGCAAAGCTGGCAATCTGGGTGAGTTTAAATACATTTAAAGATCATTTGGTTCTTTTATATATAGGGAACAAACCAAAGCCTGTGTGGTTGTTGTTCTTCCAAGTTGCCACAAGATGGCGATTGTGTATCAGGAATGAGTTTGTTCTCATAATGTCTGGAAGGACTTTTAACCCTAAGTGATTGTCTTATCTTTTTTCTTTTTTTACAGGACACTGCTGGCCAGGAGCGCTTTCGAACCCTGACACCAAGTTATTACCGTGGAGCCCAGGGAGTCATCCTGGGTAAGGAAATCTTTTAATAAACTCATGACTTTCTAAACTCTTTATGAAGAGCTTTAGTTCCAGTCAGTATTTTTTTCATTTTAAATAATAATAATGAGAAACGTCTACTTCTGCTTTTTCTATATTAAAGACACAACATACTCAAAGTGTGCATACCTTCCACTGAAACTTCAGGTTTTTAATGGTTAAATAGATAGAATAAATCTACATAATCTCATTTTATAAAGTTTTCATTCAAAGGAAGGGCACAAAAAATAGCTTTATATACATTAGGGCTGCAAATAATGATTATTTTGCAAATCGATTAATCTTTCGATTATTATTTTTTTTTTATTAATAGTTTAATAACTAGATAACCAAAGGTTCATTTAAGATTTCTTTTTTCACAAAATTAAACCAGGTGAATATAAAAATTTACCAAACTTCTTCATAGAGCATATTGACAGATTATTTTTTTTTAAATCTTAAATGCAAAATGATTATATATATTTTTTTCACATTTTTGGTATAATTACTGACTCTAAGTAGATTGTTCAGTCAGTTAAAGCAGGGTTCCCGCGGGTCCTTAAAAAGTCTTAAAAGGCATTGAGTTCTTCAAAATAAAACTAAGGCCTTAATTGGTATTAAAATGTCTTAAATCAGTCTTTCGTAGGTCTTAATTTTTAAAACATCATAAATAGGATTATTTGTATTACGATTTATTTTTGTAATCTAAATAAAACATTAAAATTGACTTTTTTTTTTATATATATATATATATAAAAAAAAAATAATGACTCGCCATTATTGGTTCTGTCCCGATAGCGGAACCAATAAAAGCGTTGTTGCGGCCGGGACATTTGGGAGATGCACCATTAACTTTTTGTCTGGAAAATATGAGCAAGTGTAAATGTAACCAAAATTGGCTTCAGCAATTGGCTAAAACCAGGGAACATACATGAGGCTCAGTGGATTTTGTGCAAGAAGTCATTTAAGCTCAGAACGATGGGAATTAAGGCAGTGGAGTCACACATGCGAAGCGCGAAACACAAAGCGTCAAAATCGAGTTACCGAGAAACAGTCAGTATTTCTCAGTTTTGTTCCGCCCTTGTCTCTGCAACGCCTCCACTTATCACCAAATCAAACATACTAAGAAAATGATACATATATTTGTTAAAATATATCTGTTATTTGTGTGTTTTTAGCTTTCTTCCTGTATGGGAAGCTTTTCAAAATTTGAAACATTAGTGCAGTGGTTTATGTTAAAATAAACCTTTGGGTTAAGTTGTCGCAAGCAGGTTTTTCTTGTGTTTCTTGTGAATTTGGTCTTAAATTTTTATTTCAAGTGGCATTAAAAGGTCTTAAAAAGTCTTGAATTTAACTTGGCTTATGCTGTAGGAACCCTCTAAGAATATATTTTTTTTACAAAATTAAACCAGGTGAATATAAAAATTTACCAAACTTCTTCATAGACCATATTGACAGATTTATTTTTTTTTAATCTTAAATGCAAAATGTATATATATATATATATATATATATATATATATATATATATATATATATATATATATATATATATATATATATATAAATTTATTTTATTTTTTTCACATTTTTATATAATTACTGACTCTAAGTGGATTGTCAGTTAAAGACATGTTTTACAGTCTATCAGGGTTGTTTTTCTAAATGATGATGAATTATTTCAGTCTGGTAAAGAATCTAGTTATTCAAAATTGTAAAAGGTTAACTGTTTTATGAATTGTATCATAAAACTAACTAAAATTAATGCTTTAATTCAGTCAAAAACAAACCTCTCCTTATGTACTTTGAAGGGGCACCTCCATTTCTGGTAAACTTTATATATATTTTACAGAATAAGCACCGCTTTAATTAATTTAGTGGACAATTTACTCATCCATACAGTAGAGACTTCCACTGTCGCAGGTTTAGACACATGTGTAGAGCATTTGAGGAGTAAATAAAGGTTTCCTCTGTTAAATAACCAGTAAAGCATCACAGGATGTAAAGCACATAATCCCAGCAATTCACCAATAGAACATCGTATTCCCAATGAAATCTGGTTTTACACCCAAAAGGATCAGATCTTTGCTAGAGACCTTTAGTAGTATAAAGTTTATTATCTCAGCAGGTCTCTGATCCGGATGAAAAAAGAATGAGATCACTAGAAGAAAATGAAAGAACAGGATTAGACTTGTTAGGGTTAGATTTAACTTCAGATTTAACTTTTCCAAACAAGAAGCAAATGTTCCCGAAGAGAAGCTGCCAAAGAAGATCAAATGTTCTAAAAGTAATTATACTTGTTGCAACATTTCAAAATGATACATCACATTTGCTCAAAAACCTTTATGTTAAAGCTATTAAGAGCTGCTTTATATTAAGAGTGAATACCTTTCAGCCTTGAAATACGGCGTTCTGTAGAAACGCTTTTAAATTGTGGCTTTATACTCATTCTCAGTGTATGATGTCACCAGAAGAGATACCTTCACAAAGCTTGACAACTGGCTGAACGAGCTGGAGACCTACTGTACCAGGAACGACCTGGTTAAAATGCTGGTAGGAAACAAAATCGATAAGGTCAGTGGGTCTGCAACAGGACGCAGCAGGTTTGTGGTACTGGACCGGATCTCCTCAGACCTTGAAATGTGTTTCCTGTTTCAGGACAACCACGACGTAGACAGAGCTGAAGGACTGAAGTTTGCAAGAAAACATTCCATGCTTTTCATTGGTAAGTCTGCATGATTGCTTGTTGTACACAGAGCTGCTGGGCATACCTGTTGGAACAGAGTAAAACTCAAAGAAAGCACTGTTAGTAAAGTAATACAGGATTTTATCTGTATTTAAAGGCATACTATGCAACATTTTTCAGTTAATTAATGTGTTCCATAACATTTTGGATGATTAAATGAGTCATTTCAGGTCGAACAAAGGTTTTCTTGGCCGCCCTGGTGGTCTGTAGGGGAAATACCGTACTTGCAATTGCAGGAGCCCTCGGCCCGCACCCACAGGCTCAGAAGTCTCGTGCATCGCGAGAGTCGGTCTTGCTTTACGGCGAGAACTGTTACACGCCCCCAGTGAAAGGCATGCTCGTTGCTAGCGCAGTGGCGATATTTTTGCTGTTATCATGGCGGAACCAGCGAGAAAACAGCGAAAGCCCATGTCGGAAACATGCTACATTTTCAAACTCGAAAATTGGAACAAAATAGTCACTTACCGCAGTAGACATGGTGATTCGTTGCGTTCGCCTGTCTGCTAAGCTCAAAACCACCGCGCCTGGCTTGATGGAGAAACCAGGAGAACAGCTGAGCATATTTATGACAGTGCACTTTTACTTTCGCCCTCTGGGGGGAGCCTCGCTGGAAAATCAAGACCGGTTGCATAGTATACCTTTAAAGAAAAAATGTTCTTAAACGTGTAAAAGCAGAAATCGTATGAAGGCCTCAGGTTTTAAAGATAGAGAAACCAAGCAGAGAAATTGTAAAAGCCTTAAAATATTTTACAGAGTAGTTCTGTCCAACATGGACACAGTGAGAGAAAACCTACAGGAGGAGGCCTTCTGTTTACACAGACAAGTTAAAGGACAGATTATACTTCTGCAACCACACACATCAAATGTCGCTTGGGTCTGGTCGCAAACCAGTTTTTTCTGGTATGCTTCTGCACCGTCGGTCTGATATTTCTAGGGACGCACAGCAGTTTCCCTCCAAAGCGCAAGGGGGTGCCTATTCGAGAACTCGCAAGAACTTTGACCGATTGTACTTCCGAACCTCCTCGATTAACCTTTCGTCGTAGTTGTCCATTGTTCCTTGGACAACCACACAGATAGCCGGAAAGGAATACCAAGGACCAATCATAGCTCCTTTTTGTCTGCGCACTTCCGCTTGACGTCGGCGCAGGTTTGCGATCGTCGCCGTGTAGTTAGGATTTCTTTGAGGTGCGCAACGACGGTAGCAGAACCTGTGCGCTGGGGGCGTGGTCACACAAAGAGACTATGCGTCAGCTGATATATATCGGGTAGGGATGGAACGCTACGCAATGCTCCTTTTTCTCATAGGGGAAGCGTGTACACTCCAGAGCAGAAGGTGGCGGTACTGCGACCAAAGCCAACCACCAGTAGTAAACAAGAAGAAGAAGAAGCGAAGCAGCGTAGCCGGGTGTAGCAGAAAAAAATCAGTTGTTGTGGAGAATTGTGTGGGTATGGCGAGTGGGAAAGAACAGGAGTTGGAAGACACGCCAGCAGCACTTAATAGGTCTGCTGTATGGGACCACTTTGCATTTAGAGTGACCTACGATGACGGCGGAAAGAAAGTTGTGGATAAAAACAGTGCGCAAGCATTATGCAACACGTTTTGTTTATGCTAACAGCAACATGACCAACATGTCAGGCTAACAATCAACATATACCGAACCAAACCGAAAACCGTGACCACGAAACCATGAACCGAACCGAACCGTGGATTTTCTGAACCGTTCCACCCCTAATTTCAGGTAGGGATGTTCCGATACAACTTTTTCATTTACGATGACTATATAGCTGCTTTGAGTATTGGCTTATACTAATAATGACCTGATGTGGTATAAGCACCAATCAAACCTACTTTTATTACTTATTTTGTGGCATGGATTTACGAAAAGGCTTGATCAGGTGATGTTACTCAAATATTAGCAATCGGTATAAGAATGACAGATTCATTTATTAGTAACCAATTAGTTGTATAAATTTTAAATATAAATGATGGATTATTTTCCATCAGCTTGATTTTATCTGAGGCTGGTGTCTGATTTTGGGATGGATTTCCGATTTCTATATCGATCAGGATATCCCTAAGCCCATGGTTACTTTGGAGGAGCTGCATAGATCCAGAGCTCTTTCAGCGGGAACACTCAGTGTGTGGAGGCTTTCCTTCTGTGGGAACACGGATGGATTGGTGGATGGCTGACTTATGTGGTGAAGAATCCACTGGTTTATATCAGAACAGGATCACCCTATAAAATGGTCTAAAGTCCAGACCTAATTCAATACTTTAAAACTGATTGATTGCAATCTTATTCAGTTTTATTATAAGTTATTATTTGTAGAGTTATGCTCCGATATGTTGATTTATTCCATAAAGCTCATTATTATTCTCTGTATATTTTTATTCAGCGTCTTGTATTTATCCAGGATGTCCTGTCGTTCCACAATGCCACATTGTTGCTCTTCCTGCTCTCTTTTTCATTTTGTTCATGTTTTCTCTTTCATTCCGTGCCCCCCACCAGAGGCCAGTGCAAAGACGAAGGACGGTGTTCAGTGTGCGTTTGAGGAGCTGGTAGAGAAGATCATCCAGACACCTGGTTTGTGGCAGAGCGAGAGCCATGGCAGAGCCATTCAGCTCACAGATGAAGATGCCGGCGGCGGATCCTGCGGTGGCTACTGTTCCCTGCTTTAAAAACACACACATATGACGCCCCCACCACGCTAACACCCAGCCAGCCACCGCCTCTCCCACTGTGTCTGGTCCTAAGCGGAGCTGTCTACCCAGACCGACTTTTAAACAGTCCACCATCCCTAATCTGACTCTAATTTTGCACAATTAACATAAACGTTTCTGCCGTTAAATTGTGTTTTACTTCTATAACATTGTTCAAAGTATGAACTCTTTGTTTTTATGCTCCTATCAAGTTATTTTAGTCGGTTATAAAAGTGTAAGCCAAAGTTTGTCCGTCTTTTAATGTGATCATTATGGAAACACTTTGGGTTCTCCCATTTCCTGCATGCCCTTCTTGTCCTAGGAGCCTGTTGCCTTAGCAACCGCATCCATATCGATGCTGGGCTTTTCTGCAGTGCTAGTCTTCCTCTTGCGCTTCATTCCGTCCCTCCTGCTACAGACTGTCGTTACGCCGCTGCTCGTGGAGGAGCTCATGAATCCAGTTCGTGCCGTCGTCCGCCTCACCACTTGTATTCAGAGGCTCGGCGCATGCGTCCTCTGCACAACTGACTCTTTATTTCAGTGTTTGAAATGATGTTTTGGTTTAGTTTACTTGGACATCAAAGCTTTATTTTTCTTTCCTTTTTTTTTAAGTATGCATGAATCAAATAGGCTGGAACCGGCGAGACTGAACTACGACATGGAAGAAGGAATCTTTTGAAACTGCCTTTCTTCTTTTGATGGACTGGCACTTACTCAAACCAGACCGAGGATGTCAGAAATATTGCTGTAATCCATGCTGATGGATTTCACATTACAGATCCCTGGAAACTAGATCTGTGAGCATGTCGGTGGTGTCTGAATGCTGGTATCCTTGGAGGGAGATCTATACATGTCTAACCACATGTAGCCGGTGTTCAACTTTTTATTTACGTTCGCATAGGCGATCCTTGTGCCATTCTTTGTGTTCGTCTGTCCTGGGAGATATTATAAACTTTTATTCTAAAGATTTTAACTTATATTAACACATTACATATGTGGCCGTTTGAATTTTAGATTAGCTACACAATAAGGAATTAGATTTTTATGATCTTATGAAAATAAGTGCTTTTTTTTTTATTTTTGTGGTTGGAAACACGTTGAACCATGTAAACCTTGTAAATTGTACATTTTAAAATTTAGTTGTATGAATTGTAAAGCGGAATGTACACATATCTGACTTCAAGCCGCCCCTGTATTAAACTCAATAAAACTCCTTTTTGAAGCAAAAGTCTCACTTCCATCTGTTCATTAAAAACTCTCATTTATACAGCTGATTACTTATTAAACATTAGCAGGTTTGGTCTGTTAATTAAAATGCCACTTTATTAAAAGTATATGTGAAAGACCAACACTGAGAAGGATGATGGTGTGTTTTTTGTTAACTTTTTTTTTTACATACAAGACAAAATTAGATCACACAGGACTTAACTCTACTCCCTACAACTGATTGTGGTCTGGTAAATGCTATAACAGGGTTCCCGCAGGTCCTTAAAAAGCCTTAAAAGGCATTGAATTCAAAATAAAACTAAGGCCTTAATTGGCATTAAAATGTCTTAAATTAGTCTTTCATAGGTCTTATTTTTTTTAAAACAAATAGGATTATTTTTATTTATTTTTGTAATCTAAATAAAACATTAAAATTGAAAACACTTTTTTTATAGCGGAACCAATAAAAGCGTTGCAGCAGAGACATTTGGGAGATGCGAAATTTTTAAGTTTTTCAAAATTTGAAACATTAGTGCATTGGTTTATGTTAAAATAAACCTTTGGGTTAAGTTGTCGCAAGCGACAATGGACAATGGTGTGTACTACTCCCTTCAGAGGACAGCACAAACAGGTTCTAACCAGAGTAGAAAAAGAAGTGGGAGGCCGCGTTGCACAACTGAGCAAGAAGATAAGTACATTAGAGTCTAGTTTGAGAAACTGACGCCTCACAGGTATCTTCATTAAATAGTACCTGCAGTAGCCTGTTTGTGCTGTCCTCTGAAGGGAGTAGTACACACCGTTGTAGGAAATTTTCAATTTCTTAGCAATTCCTCGCATGGAATAGCCTTCATTTCTAAGAACAAGAATAGACTGTGGAGTTTCAGATGAAAGTTCTCTTTTTCTGGCCATTTTGAGCGTTTAATTGACCCCACAAATGTGATGCTCCAGCTACTCAATCTGCTCAAAGGAAGGTCAGTTTTGTAGCTTCTGTAACGAGCTGTGACGGGGCAGCGCGGTCCCTCCCCCTGATACGCCTGCACACACACATACATACACAGAGAAATGCACGTGCGCACACACCCATTCAACTGCGAGTCCCTTCCCGTGTATGATAATTACAGAGCGATCGCTTTACTCACTTACATTAGCCTCTTGTGTGATGTGGCACGACCAAGGGTGCACACTTGGTGATGCTCATTAATCGGAACTCATACATTTACACTTAAACACATACACACGTTTGCACTTACCCGTGGAGCGTTGTTTGAGAGAAAGTGGGCGGGGTATTTTCAGGATTTTTCTTTCCTGTTTGTTTTTCCTCATAAAGGAAGTCAGTGATTTCCGCTGGCAAATTTAATTGTATTTTTTTTTTAGAAAGTAACTTCAGAATGGAAACAGAAAATTATTATTTTTTCTCTCTAGGAATAAATGTTTTTTTTTTATTTTTATTTTTTCCCTTATTATTGTTAAAACCAATACTCAATTATTTACTGATCTAATTGTAGGGCGTGGCTTAGGATTTATAAGGAGAGCTGCTGACATTACTGAGTCAGTCTGGCCTGGTTACAGAGAAGGTAACATTGCTGTGCAGCCCAAAAGGTATTTGTTTTTGTCTGAAATGATGTAAATACTACATTTGTTGCCATACTATTTTTTTTTTTTGGATTTTTCCCTGCTACTCTGCTCTTATTTTTGGGAAGTGTGAAATAAATATTATAAATTAAGGATGTCGACATGCCCTCCATGACTTTTTTCTCATGATTTTGGAGTCCAGTTGACCGTATCAAGGTCTAACACAGAGGCTGTTAGGAAGAACCCACGACAGATGGTGTCAGGAGTGGGATGGCATGTCGAAGGAAAACCATCCGTCTCCCAAAGCAGAGGACTGGACTGCGCTCTCAGCAGCAAGAGGAAGCTTCCACAGAAACAGCATGGGAAACTCAACAGTCTACATCCGCAGATGAGAAGATGGAGCAGCCACAGACTCAATTTGGTGAGTCAGGGAAAGAAATCGTGTGTCTGCTGCAAAACTTCATGGAAGCACAGCAGAAAAAGGAGGACTCATTGATAAACATTCTTCAAGACCTGAAAAGATCCATTCAGCCAGCAGTACAGAAACCTCCATCGAGTACTGGCTCAGCAAGTAGTCCAAGATATCATCTGCCAACTCCAGCCTCACATCGACCGCTTGATTCAAGCTCATCATCATCATCATCCTCCTCCTCTTCTTCAACCCCAACTGAGTCCAGAAATAGTCGGTCAAGACAAAGGGTTCTTTGGGAGGGTCATTCGGATCCAAAGATGCTCCCATATGCAGCTGGTGAGGATATAGAGGACTATTTAATGCGGTTTGAACGTATTGCCAAAACTTGGAAATGGCCAGAGACAGAATGGGCATGCCGACTGGTTCCGTTGCTTTCTGGTAAGGCGTTAGCAGCCTACACAGCAATGGATGAAGACAGGGCCCACTGCTATAATGAACTGAAAGCAGCATTATTGGCAAAATTTGACATATCGCCAGAGACCTACAGGCAGCGGTTCCGGTCAACTGTGGTTCCACCTGATGAAAGCCCGGCAGAAACCTACTCCCGACTGAAGGGGCTTTTCCGATGCTGGATTCGACCTACACAGCACACTAAGGAGCAGATTGGAGAGGCCATCATTCTGGAGCAGTTCCTGCGAGTTCTACCCCCGGAGATGAGGACATGGGTGAAGGAACACGAGCCGAAAGATGGACAGCATGCAGCAAAACTGGCGACACAGTTCCTGAATGCACGCAAGGGAGGCGGCGATTCAAACTTCATCAGCAGGAACCGCAGGGTTACAGCGCAGCCGGTCCAACTGAAAGCTACCATAGAAAGAAGCAACCGGGACTTTCCAGGTAACTTCTCCAGGGAACCAGACCACCACCAGCTGGGTAAGAACCTTGTTTGTTATTATTGCCAACAACCGGGCCACAAAGCTTCTGTGTGTCCAGTGCGCAAAGCTAAGGTCACGGGGGCCTGTTATCCACCCCGACTTGAAGAGGGGATGGTTGGGACGGAAAATATTGGCAGACACTATCAACAAATAACTGTTAATGGACAAAATGTGACTGCTCTTTTGGACACTGGAAGTTTCATCTCGCTCATAAAGCAGAGTCTGGTACCAGTGGGCCAGACAGATTATGGAAGAAAAGGGGACATTTTGTGTGTCCATGGTGACAAACATACATACCCAAAAGCAGACTTAACAGTTGTTATTGATGAACAACCATATCTGTTGACATTTGGTGTTACTGAAAACTTGCCAGTAGATGTAATTTTCGGTCGGGATTTACCAGTGCTTTTTGACTTGTTGAAGGAAAAGCAGTCCAATCAGATGGATTTTGATAAGGAGGTCAATACGCAAGTAAATGTTAATATCTCTGGTCCGGTGGTCACCAGAGCCCAAGTACAGGCCGGTGTCCAACCATTACCAGACCTGGACAGTAGTTTATGTGAGGGTGGCAAAAAAGGGCCTAGAAAAACTCGAAGCCAACGGCGTTTTGAAAAAAAGCTAAAGTTAAAAGAACCTGATCAGATAGATGCATTGTGGGACATACCAGAAAACATTTCTCTGTTACAACAAGAGGATGAGACTTTGAAACCACTATTCCTTAAGGCTGAAAAAGAAAAAAATGGAAATTGTGCGGTTGAACCAAAGTATGTTGTTGAACGTGATGTGTTGTATAACACTGGAAATAAGCGCAAACGTTTGGTAATCCCCGCTAGATGTAGACCTCTCATTATGTATTTGGCACAGACATTGCCATGGGCGGGACATCTGGGTCGCCATAAAACATATCTACGTGCAGGTGCACGCTTTTACTGGCCAACAATGTACACCGATATTCAGACTTATTGCGCCACCTGCCCGGTATGTCAAAAAACATGTGCCACCCACAAAGCTGATAGAGCATTTC